GCAGAAGAACCGGAGCCGGAGAGAGAACCGACGGACCGACCGGAGGACAAACCAGCGAGGTCGCGAGCGCAGCTGGAAACTGCCGCTGGCGCGCGCTCACCTCTCCGAGCGGCTCGTGCGCGCGGCGGAGACATTAGCATAAAGCGCGCGAGCGGAGAGAGAGTGTGACGTAAACGTGTCTTTATTACTTTATTGATCAGGTTCAGAGGAACAACAACACGTTCAGATTATTAATGTATTTATTTATTAAATATCTGTGGAATTCTGACATTATTCATTTATTAACAGCAGAAACGAGTCTGTGAGGAACATTTACTACATATTAAATATGAAAACTAGAAATTCCTCATGAACAAGAAGAAGCAGCAGGCTGTGGCTCAGATATCAGCTGTTTATTCTGTTAAAGCGTCTCTGGGCTTGATTTCATGAAAAGATGGCAGCTGCTAAATCCCCACTGTCCTCCATGAACAGCTGTTTGAGCTCAGATATTAAAGCAGCTGGAGTCCAAGTGTGATGATGAAACCTTCTGCCGTTTGTTTTGTATTGTTACTGAAAGATCTGGGTTCTGTGGCGTGTTTGTGTTTGGTTGTTGTTATTTTCTTTGTCTTGCGCGGACCGCAGGAAGATCAGCTGTTTCTGGGGATCCTGATGAATGAAACGAAACAGGTGCTGGAAGGCTGCAGGGTTTGGACATGAAAACTCAAACCAAGTCAAACAGTCGCTGCTTTTCCAGCTTTCATATATGCAGCCAGCGTTCACCTGTGACAGGTGCCAGCGTAAGCAGGTAATCCGCTTCAGGTCCAGTTTCTGACTTGGGCATCCTGGGAATAATAATAGAGTCAGCAGGAACCAGCTGCTCTGTCTGTCAGGGGTCAGGGGTCAGGGGTCAGGAGCCGGCTCCCAGTCTCTCTGGCGTCCTTTCAGCTTTTGTTTGGACCCCCTTTCAGTCCCCCAGCAGTCCAACAGAGGGTCCAGAGCCAGGCTGTGAGACCGCCACTCCCTGCAGGGTGACCGCGAGGACGCGAGGCCCAGACCCTATCCGCACCCTGAACCGGTCTGATCTGAACGTGTTCCAGGATCCTGCAGAGACGAGAGCTCGCTTTCATCAAAACAGCTTCACGCTCTGACTTTAAACTTCTCTTCTGGTGGCTGCTCCTTCCTCCAGGCTTCCTCTGGAAACCCCGTCACAACGCTATGAACTGTGGGTAATTCCCTGACACACCTGGGACGGCCCGAAGCCTTGCTCGCGAACTCCAGGACTCTGAGGCATGATCCCGGTGAGTGTAGAGACTGGGATTCAGCCTTAAACTGGGTCCCCCCTCAGGACAAAGACCCCACGGGTGCGTTTGGTTCACCTTCACTGCTGCTGGCAGGAGGCGACAGCAGGTGGGAGTCTGAGCTGCACGACGTCTTTCTGACGCTTCATGTTAGCTCTTAGGTTTCTGCTGGAGGCCTGAACGCAGTGAAGCAGGGGCTTGTGGGGCCCCCGGGGGCCCGGACAGGCTACACCCAGACATAACAGTGAGCTGGGTGTAGTCTGGTCGGTTAACTCAGTGCAAATGTAAACTGGGAGTGTTTTTGGGGAACAGATCCAAGGCGGTGTTTGTAAAATCCTCAGAGATGAACTCAGTGGAACAGAGCGCGGCGACTCTGCACGCTCGCTGTTTGTTTCTGAGGCTGGAGCGTGGCCATGGAAACCTGCGTTTAACAGCAGGTGAGGGGAGGGAGGAAGCTCCGCCTCCGCCCGCCTCCTCTGCTGGAGCGAGTCGAGACACAAAGAGCGAGAGCTGCTCCGAGAGCTCGGCTCCACAAACTGCTTCCAGATCAGCTCATTAAAGCCCCGACAGCAGCAGTTCAGGAGCCAGGGCCGGATTCCTGTGTGGTGGCGTCATGTGCAGCTGTACGTCCCCGGGGTCCAGACCCGGTCAGGGCGGGCGGAGACTCGGGGCAGGAGGGGGGGCAGAGTTTCCATCCAACTGAACGTGTTTGTAGGTTTCTTGTCGTGTCGTTGTTGCAGCTCAGAACTGACTCAGAGTCACATTTACTCTTTAACTTACATCTGAGGAGAGAAAACACATGAGCTTGCTACCCCTCCCCCCTCTGCTGCAGCAGCACCACTTATGTGGAGGTAACTTGATGACTGTGGGGTCAGAGGTTTGGCAGTGTGACCCCAGCAGGATAAATACCCCCCGCCCCCCCCAGGAGGAGATGAAGGAGCTCTGCTTTGACTCTTTGCTGGGTAAATAAAAGTTCACTTATTTTAAAATTACACACACATTTAATTAGAAAGATGAAAGCAGGCAAAGTGTTTACTGAGCTGAGAGTGACTGACAAGGGGAACCTGGAGCCTCTGCACCTTCAATACAGAAAAATAAGGGACGCCTGCCGCAGCGGCACCCTTAAGCCCCGCCCCTCCGGTGGACCACCATGGGACTTCATTTCTGAAAAATATGTTTGGTAGCCAACGGCAAGAGACAACTAATTTTTTGGTCCCGTTTGAATTGTGCTCTGAATTACACTCATGATGATGGTCAATTTAAAATATACATTTAAAAGACAAGAACGAAAAGTAAAACTGTTGAATACTAAACTGAAAATACATAATTACAAAAGCACAAAGCCAAAAGTCGCGTATCGTAACTTGAAGCTAACGTTTCTGAAGCTGAAGTCAAAGAGATTACATGAGAGGATGATGTGATAAAAGGACCGAGAGACGCTGGATCAAACACATCACGTGAGATTTATTTCTATGTGGAACATAGCTAAGTTATCTAGCTATCAGCAACCAAGCAATGAACGTTAGCTTAGCATTACCACGCTAACGTGTTGGTGACATACGTATACTGTGCGAGACGAGAGATGTAGCTCATTGAACGGTTTTCACACAAAACGACATGTAACTTTACTGTTTTACCACAAACTGCGACTTTCTTGACGGACAAAATTATTGTTTAAATCAACAAAAATTGTGTGCGATTCAGGGCTCGGTTCAAACAGGATCAAGAAATAAGTCGTCTCTCGCCGTTGACTACCGAACATATTTTTTCCGAAATAAGGTCCCATGGGCCGGAAGCAGAAGTGAGTGACTTCGGCTCTCTATCAGGAGTCGGCTGCTCAAGTACGTTTAGTTTTAAGCCTGTTTGTCGCTAGCCAAAAATTAGCATCCCAGCTAATATCACAGCTAACGTGAACCACAGATGCACCTTGCTAACCAAGATAGCTAGCTCCTCCCTCTCTTCCAAATATGGTCACATCCGGTTCCAAAAAACCAAGATGGCGACAGCCAAACAGCCTGTCAGAGCCAAATCCGTGCCACTAGCAAGATCCGGTCTGCACATGCGCAAAAGTGGTCCTGTCTACCAAAGGTCACCACAAATGTGCCTTTTCATAATTATTCGTGTGGTGTTGGTCTGTTCTCATCTCAGGGCGTCAAATAGTGACGCTTTCAGAAAGGCTGACAAAGCGTTGTTTGATGCAAAACGTACCCTTCAACGTCTGAATGAGACGCCCTGTCTAGACTGGAAGCGCTAGTAGCTAGCTAGGTAGGTAGCTAGCTACGTTAGTATAAAAGGCGTTGGCAGCTACCCAACGCACCTTACCCTAACCATATCCACCACAGGGGCGTGAGCCTAAACCTAAGTCCGCGAATGTATGCATGTTGACCGGCTAACCCTACAGCTGTTAGCAGCTAGTGTTAGCCTCCTTTCTGTTGCTACATTGTTACAGTGTTGTCAATTAAAAATGTACGGTTGAATCAGGTTTTTTAGGGAAGCAGTAAGCGGCCATCAATTCATATTTTTATTTTACAGTTTTCCCGTGATAACGAGATAATTATCTCATGATCTCGAGATAACGAACCGTAGCTGAATACAGGTGCGTTTCTTTACGATAATTTTCGTGATGATTTGCTGAGTCAGTATTTAGCTTAGCTGGTAGAACGCAGGACTTGCATCCCAAGGGTTGCAGGTTCGACCTCGTTCTTTGCCAAGTTTTTTAATTCTTCTTTTTGTGTGTTTTTTAATCATTCTGTTCAACAAAGTTATTGTGAAGAGAATCAGGGGAATCCAATCACACATTTCCTGACGGCTATTTCAAAGGTTCTGAAAGAGCCTTTAAACGGATTCCCCTGAAGGAGAAGTGGATGAATTTCCTCTGCCTGGGAATGATGGGAAATGAAAAGTCCATAGGTTAATGAATGTGGACCAATCACCAGGATGCACGCACTCCAGCACGTGATTAATTGTGAGCATGAGAATCAGTCATCTTCATAACAACTTTGTTGAAGAGGAATTTGACAAAGATTTTTTTTTAATTGGTTTTCCATGAGGATCAAACTCACAATCTTAAGACTACGACTAAGGTACCTTTGTAATGTGACATGAAAACCAACTTGAAATTCCCATTAAGAAACGTTCTGTGTTAACTACGGTTTAGTTTTCTCGGGATCACGAGAAAATGGAGTAAAATAAAGATATGGATCCATGGCCGCTTAGGGCTTCCGTAGTTTTTATTCCTATTACATCATAGTGAACAGTTTCATCTCCAGTGATTAAAAAAAACTTAGCTCGATATCTAAGATTTAGTTGGATCATTTTGAAGAGGCAGATTTGTGGTGACCTTCTTTGACTGACAGAACCACTTTTGCACATGTGCAGAACGGATCTTGCTGGCGGTAACGGACTCTCACCCAACGGGGGACGTCTGTTGAACAGTCTGTGGTCAGAAGCTAAGGAGCGATCAGAAACTCATTCTTACACTGAAGCAGTTTGGGCTTCAATGTCTTGCCCATGGACGTGCAGGCGGGGGGAACCGGGGGATCGAACCACCGACCTTCTGATGACTGGACGACCGTTCTACCCGCTGGACCGCAGCTCCCCAAGTTACAATGTTTACCAGGTCACTATGGTAACGATTCCAGCCGGCGGTGAACTTCCTGCTTTTTATATTTGACAGGAACCGTCAGACGAAACAAAAGCTTCTAGAAAATAAAACAACAGTTATTTGATCTATAGATTTATTCTGTCATGTGATCATTCATCAGCTCTTCAACACTAAATAAAAGATCATTCATGTATTTAAAGGAGAAAACTGATCCGTGTTTCTTCCCGAAAGAACATTTCGTTTAAAAAAAATGAACAACAGTTAAACAGAAGTCACAAAAAGATCCAGAATTATCTTTTAATTAATTTATTTACAGGAACCAGCCCCGACAGCCACTTCCTGTTCCCTGAACGGCGCCTGGATGCGTCTTTGTTGACGGGAAGAACTCTTCAGTGAGACACAGCTAACATCTGGATCCTCAGCATTTTCACTCCATAAAGTCCCATGATGCCGCTGGTTTTAACCTGCACCTCCTCAGCCGTCTCCCTCGTCCTCCTCCTGGGATCCGATGGTCTGCAGACGCGGCGCCGCCTCCTGCTGGACGTGCTGGATGGACACCATGCCGGTCAGGAGGGCGTAGCTCAGCATGGCGCCCAGAGCCACCAGAGCAGACAGCAGCTGCTTCCTGCGCTTGTTGGGGACGTGGTCGAAGTCTCCGCCTTCGGGCTGGGAGGACGTCTTCTGACTGGAGCTCTCTGAAAAACACGGAGGACGTGGACACGGTTGGACAAGTGTTAACTAGGGGGTCCCTATTCTTCACAGAGGAATAACTTGATGCATCGATCCGCAAGTGGAATAAGGTCAGAATCTGGGAGGACTTCATCATCTGTGAGCAAATATCTAAAGTTAACTGATGCTCTAAAGAACGCGTCACAGCAGTTGTGTCTCACTGAACTTAAAAGGAAGTTTTTCCTTGTCTGTCTTCTAGTGCTGCTCTTGGTGGGAACTGTTGGGCTTCTGTAAATAACGGTCTAGACCTGCTCTTTATGAAAAGCGCTGAGATAACTGTTGTTGTGATTTGGCGCTATATAAATAAAATTTAGAACAGGGAAATAACCCGAGCCACGTGTTAGCCTCTTATTAACGACGCTAATCAGAACCCGCTGTGAGCTGCGGCTGAAAGCTTTCGGTCAGATTGATCCTAACGTAGCGTGAAGTTTAAAGGACACCTATTATGCTTCTCCACATTTTGACTTATGATGTGTTGTTACGATGTCAGATGTTCACGTTAAACACGGCCAAAGCTTCAAATAAAGAGGCTGGTTCACGTGAGTTCAAATTTTTCCACGTCACCGGCGGCTTCGGAGCGTTGTTTGGAGAGGACCAGGCGAGCGGTGTCATGACAATCCGCTGGCCGGCGGAGAGCTGCTAAAGAACGGGGACGTGTTCGGGGAGCAGCGCTGCAGCTTTCAGACAGATAAACACCCGCAGTCGGTCGGATTCTGCTCTGACAGCTACACCGTTTACTCACAGGAGGAGCTCAGAGTTAACTGCTTTTATTAAATCAGCTTTTTACTTTAGTTTTTGGGATTTCAACGTTGATTTATCTTCTATGGAGCTTCTCAGCAGCTTCTGTGCACGTCTGGTTCCACTGTTGTTGTTAGCGTCGTTAGCTCTGTCGGACTACGACTTCATATTTACATAAAAAACGGATAAAACTGGACATTAGTTGGAGAAAAGCGAGGAGGTTGAACTACCTGGTGAGTCAGAAAACATGTGTCTGTAACTTTATTCCAGCTGTCGTTGGTCTTTACTGTGAACAGGTTAGCATAGCATAGCCCTGATCGAACCAAACTCCATTCAGAAAACAAACATTTTAGAAGCTGCTGTCCTGGTGACAGACCTGACAAAGCATCAATTCATATGTTTAACAAATCTGCATCATGTTGTTGTTATTTACTGGCAACTCCTTCGTGTTGCTGTGCATTACGACCACCGCTCCACTAGATGGCGATGCTGCAAAAGAACTACGGTCCCAGGATTGCGGGGGGCCTGAAACCGCAGCCTCAGGTCCTGCAGCTACATAATATTGGCTCGGAGCTCCCAGTCTGGGTGGAGTCAGCTACGACCACCGGGCTAACTGAGCTAATTAGATACCAGCAGCTAGCAGCACGTTCTGTTCTTCAGCAACCTCCGTAAATCCCAGAGAGCTGAGGCGGAGCAGCCGGGGAACTTTAATGTAACAGCACGGTACCAACGATGTCTCTGAAAAGAAATCATCTAATATCGTAATATCGCCGAGCCCAAATCTTCACACACTGTCCTGATTAACGTGCGTTCAGCTGCAGAGGTTTGTGTGATGTCTGAGGACACAAGGAACACGAACCCTGGGATCTCGGTGGATCACAGCAACCTGCTGCCCCTGGTCTGGGTTTGTGGGCTCACCTCTGCCGTCTCTGGGGAAGTAGAGCAGCAGGACGTTGGTGCAGAAGCTGCTCAGGTTGTCGAGGGACTTCAGGTGCTGCTGCAGTTTCCCGTTGGGCAGTTTGGACTTCAGGATGGGCGCCAAGTGACCGAACACGTAGGCGTCCAGAGACGAAGGCCTGAAGAGGCAGACACACAGACGATCAACCAACAAGAACCCTGACTGTTTGGAGAAGCTCCACACATTTGACGGAGGGTCTGGATCTACTTACGAGTCCCCCGAAGAAGAACTTGTGTGAGCCGAGGCGCTGGGACAGCAGGTTCATACACTCTGCGGCATCACGGAACAACTGAAACACAGAGAGCAGGGCTGCAAATCTGAAGCTCGCCACAGACCAGGACCCAGAATCAGTGCCTGGAGCCCAGCAGCTCCCAGAAACCAGTTCATCTGGGCCTCTAAAGAGCGAAGTCGACCCAGACGGTTCAGCAGTTAAACTTAATAACATAAATCACACAAAACAAAGTCCAGGTTGAGAAATAAAGTTAGAGTTTAGATTATTTTGTTAAATTAGTGTTAATCTGGTGGGAACCGAGATTATTCACAGAAAACTTGAGAGGTTTTATCCTCTGGAGAGAACGCTCGGGGTCCAGGCCTTAGCGGCCCCTCCTGGATTCATCCCGGTCCAGGATCGAGTCGGGCTTTTGGGCCAGTGATGGAGGACGGGCCACAAATCTATTTCCGTTTAATTTATTGTGTGACTTTAATACAACAAATAAACTTTGCATCAACTTCATTTTCACAGAACGTATCAAAACAAAATGTGCAGGTTCACTGCTGATGGTCGCCGCCGGTTGTCATGGTAATGCAACACGTTTTCCAGCCTGCAGCGTTTGGAGACACAGCAGGCAGAAATAACGACGGGCAGACGAGCCACGAGGGGCTCACGCCACAGCCTCCGGTGCGAGCCCTGCTGCTGGTTTCGGAAAGACCTCGTCGGGGACTAAAGGTCGGTCCGCTGGAGGATTTATCGGAAAAGGAAAGGTCAGAGGTCACCACAAAGATCCATCGTCAGGGAGCCACAGAAACCTCGTCTCATGAACGATGGTTTGATGATTCTAACGGAGTCTCTGAAACAAAGTCAGCACTGACGGAAACATTTCAGAAAACACATGCAGTCGAGCTTCTGACACGCTGACAGGAACAAACTGCTCTTTCACGACGTTCCCCTGAACGCTGCCCGACCTCTGACCTCTTTCCAAAGTGGATGGATCGTTTCACAGCAGCAGTTTTCCAACAGAGAGGAAAGTTTTCCCTTCTTCCAGCCTGAACACATGGAAACTATTTATCTGTACAAACTGGAAACATGTTCTGACGCAGAAAGTTAAACCTCAGACGGAGACGAGCTCCTCAGACCGGGTGGTTTCAGGTCTGAACGACAGCTGTGGTCTCACACTGCAGGTTCGTGTTGCATCATAACGTCCTCACCTCCTTCTCCAGCTCCTCTCCGGCCTCCAGGCTCTCGTTTCCTCGCTGCAGTCGCAGTTTCTCCAGCTGCCTGCTTTGCATTCGCCCGGGCAGGAAGAAGTTCAGAGGGAAGGGCATGTGCTCCGCGTACCAGCGGCGCGTCACGTCCACGTAGTTCTTCGGCTCGATCCAGAGCGAGTAGATCTACGACAGACACAAACCTGTACTCTGTTCCCGTTTGAGCATTTAACATGTTGCTGAAGAGGAAAGAGTCTCGCGTTTCTCACCAGAGCAGGTTTGAGCTTCTCCTCCATCAGAGAGATGAAGGCCAGGCTGTCGGCGCCCTCCTTCGCCGACAGATCGTAGTCAGCGTTGTATTTCTGAAACACACAGATCAGATCATCTGCTGAGGGAGAAAACAGCTGCTGCAGCGTCCTTCACTGACGCAGATGAATGTCTGCATGCACGCACACGATGTATCATCAGCTTTAGATGCATCGCCCTGCAGACGTGCATGGGTCCAATTACGGGGGTCTGACCCCCCTAGTTAAGGCTAGGACCCCCTAGTTAAGGCTAGGACCCCTTAGTTAAGGCTAGGACCCCTTAGTTAAGGCTAGGACCCCCTAGTTAAGGCTAGGACCCCTTAGTTAAGGCTAGGACCCCTTAGTTAAGGCTAGGACCCCTTAGTTAAGGCTAGGACCCCCTAGTTAAGGCTAGGACCCCTTAGTTAAGGCTAGGACCCCCTAGTTAAGGCTAGGACCCCCCTAGTTAAGGCTAGGACCCCTTAGTTAAGGCTAGGACCCCCCTAGTTAAAGCTAGGACCCCCCAAGTTAAGGCTAGGACCCCCCTAGTTAAGGCTAGGACCCCTTAGTTAAGGCTAGGACCCCCCTAGTTAAGGCTAGGACCCCCCAAGTTAAGGCTAGGACCCCCCTAGTTAAGGCTAGGACCCCCCTAGTTAAGGCTAGGACCCCTTAGTTAAGGCTAGGACCCCCTTAGTTAAGGCTAGGACCCCTTAGTTAAGGCTAGGACCCCCCTAGTTAAAGCTAGGACCCCCCAAGTTAAGGCTAGGACCCCCCTAGTTAAAGCTAGGACCCCCCAAGTTAAGGCTAGGACCCCCCTAGTTAAGGCTAGGACCCCCCAAAAGAGGCGAAACCAACAGTTCAGGGGGGTCTTTCTCACCTGTATTTGTAAATACTACAATATACTTCCTGTACTCTCTTATATATGTCAGATTTCAGACACCCCTAAAACGGACCGTACCATTTCCTAACCTTGATGCATCACACGCTAATGGAGACGCAGCAGGTGAATGTCAGCAGTTAGCTACCCAGCTGCTGTAATTCACTTATCTTTCCCATCTTCAGAGATTCATAATGAGCTTTTCTTTTACTTAAAATGAGCCGTCTGATGTGAGCTGAGACTCCTCCAGACCCTGTCATCTCATATTTGATGTAACTGGCAGCTAACACTGGTGTTTGTACATCAACATAGAGTTTATTATTGCATTTGAAGTCTTTTGTGAGTCCTTTCACACTAAACATGGCCTTTGTTTTAAAACTCTGGAATTGTGACTGCTGCTTTACTGGACGCAGATTAGAAAGGAGATTTTTGCTGATAAAGAGCAAGTTGAAAGTTTAAGCTGGATGAGAATGATAAAAACGAGGAATTAGAGATGATAACGTGTCTTTAGTTCTGTAGCAGCACTGTGGGTCTGACCTGCTGGCTTGACCTCTGACTACAGAAGCTGTCGTGCGGTACAGGACACCCGTGAACTGGTGGAGTGAATCTGATTTATTTATTTACAGACTGCAGACATTAGTTAAATAAGTGAGGATATTGGAAGCTTTGTAATTGTAGCTGACTGCAGCCCTGTGCTGGGTTTCCTTCTGGACCTGGATAAAAGGCTGACCCCCCCGGCTGTCACTGTATCATCCTCCTGCTCTTGTCTCCCGTGTGCGTAGCGAGTGAGTGGGCGAGCGAATGAAAGAGATGTGAAGAAAGTTATGTGTTATATGTGAGCGTTAATAAAGTCTGCCGTTTCACCAGCTGCTGGAAAAGGCGGTTGGCGCTCGCCAACATCTCCCTGACACCCCCTGTACAGCACGCTTTTTGGCTGCTAAGTTAATATTAGCTAAATTAGTAACGAAGCAGAGTTAATTACTTGTGCGTCATTACTGCCGAGCTGCTGTACAGCTGTGTCCTGTACGTTACATCTTGATGGTTAAATCATTTTCTGAGGAGTCTGAAAGCTGGCAGTTAAATAAAGGACGGTGACCAGCAGGCGCTGAGCCTGGTGAAGTAAATTAGGGTTGTAAACTCGTCTTTTAAGGGAGACGTTTCTTTTGGATTTTAATGTGCAAATTAAACTCTTATCCAGAAATCACATAGAAAAAAAAAAAAAGATGCATCAATAATCATTTCATAAACCCAACTGTGAGATTCCCACCCCTACTATGCATGTATTTTAGTACCTATGTATCGTGATATTTTGCTCCGTTTGGCAGCCCTCTATTAATAAATCTGACCTCGACTGTCTGATTTTATCCTCACATATACAGAACAAGTAGTTTTTGATGTCTGTAGTTAGAGAAAAGGTTGGTCACTGTGTTTTACTGCAGATGAATTCACCATTATGTATTTATAAAGTAAGAAAGAGTTCACAGCAGACACCAACAAGCCGCTGTTGCTGCAGGTAAAATCATTATTTTGTGATCACGACATCGTCAGACAAAATCGGCATGAATACAGTTTGATGAGCCGTGAGATCGACTGGACGGACATCTAAAGTTCGAAGCAACAGAAGGATCCGAGTCGGCATCTAAACGAGCTTCTGTAGAACGTTAAATAACTCTGCTAATGAGAAGCTGCGCAGAGTGAAACCATAGAGCCGGAGCTCAGCAGGATGCTGGACTGCAGGAATATTCAAAAACATTCAAAGAGGTCCGGAACATCACGACGACTAACTTGGGTTATTATTCAGCACCGTGACGTACAGCTGACTGTCAAATCTAATATTTCTACAATATTTAGTTTTCACAACAAACTGGAGGGATAATAAATCCTAATTAAAGCTGCAAGCAGCGATGAGCCGGTCCGAACGCCTCCCGCTCGTCGTCACACAGTGAACAGTAGGTGGCGTTATCGCTGTAATAGAAGCGTGGCATGTAGATGTCTACAGGGCAGGATTATATATATAATATTTCCCGTTACACGCCTTGATGTTTGTGTAAATACAGAGTGAGAATGGGAGAACAGCACAGAGCTCGTTGTTACTGTGATTATAGAGGATACTTTAACACAGCCCTAATATTACAACAAGTGGATTTTTTACAACTCTCTGCTCACCTCATTAGTCTTGTGTAATGTGAAATGAAAAACTACATCATTTTATTGATTGCACATCATCAGCCCAGTGCCGCTGCGCTTTATTCTGGATTTATTGTTCCTAAATAAAAAGGTTTGTCACAGCTAAATCAGATGATTGAGAGTCATTCTGTTCTTCATTATTGCTAAAGTAGCTGCCTTCACATCCAGAGGACTGTTTATTCATTGCAGACAATCAGGATGTAGCTGTTCACAAACACTGTACAGTACGTAGCCTAAAGAACAATCCCTGTCTTATAGCAGACTCAAGCTCAAGTCACAAGCTTGACAACCTTCTATCTTTTAGTTCTTAAGGCTTTTTTGAGACAGTTTTGAGCCAAACTGGATCATCCGGCTGGGAGGAGCAACACAACCAACTGACGATGATGAGACGATCGGAACACTTGCGATCGGTCTGACAGTTTCCTGAGACGCTAAACCAGGACAGAAAATGCTAGAAAAGCTGCGCGGGTTAAAACAGAAACGCTCTGTCACGAGTTAGTAATTCTCAATAATACATCGGGGGTTAGTCCGGGTTTGGATCTGGACCGCAGTCTGCCAATTAGTGACCTCTGCAGTACATGTTTACTGCTGTTGTGATAAAAGCGTAATGTTTGTCCTGAAGGTGGCGCTAGAGGAAAGGTCACGGGGTTCATCCTCTGTGGAGCAGGAACACAGACAGAAGACTTGAGGAACATCTGATCTGTTCTTTAGGTTTTCACTGGAGAAAAGTGGAAATAAGGAACTAAGTGAAAGCGAGTTTGAGAATAACAAGAATCTAAGCAGAAGCGACTGGTTTAAGAAGAAGAACCTGAAAGCAGCAGCAGCAGAAGAAGAAGAAGAAGAAGTGTGTGGCTGCAGTGAGTAAATGTTGACTCTGCAGCTCTGAGCTTCTTCAGCAGCTCTCCTGTGGTTGTGGTCTGTAACTAACCTACCGCAGCGCGGAGGCACCGAGCATGCTGGGTAATGTCTTCCAGCTGCCTGTCGGCTGCAGAGCGCAGGCGGAGGGGCAGCGTTCGGCTCAGAGACGGAGGGGAAAGGAAAACTCCAGCCAGAGGTCACAGAGACTCAGTCGGGAGGAGGAAGGTCTGAGAGAGTCCTGCAGTGACATCATCATCATCATCATCATCATCATCCGGCCCGTAAACCACCAGCAGCAGACGGAGCTGCGGTCCGGCTGCAGGGGGGAATCAAACCTGTGTGTCGACTGTTCTTTAATCATTCTGTTTCAGAACCCAAACAGGGAAGAGAAAAGCTCAGTGACCCGGGTTAATACGTGTTCTGACATCACGATTCCCTTGTTGCAGAGGCTGTAATGCACTGATCCATCTCGCCGCAGCCTGGAGAAAAAACCCTTTAGAGCGGTGGTTCTTAACCTGGGGGCCGGGACCCCCCTGGGGCCGCGAGGATGCTGCTATAGTCAGTAACAGAAAAAACAACTTCAAAATAATGTTTTTCACTGTTTAATCCAGCAGGTGGCGCCGATGCCAACCGCTAAAAGAAGAATCAGACAGAATCAGCTGTCCTGTCAGTCTAATCAAACATCTGTAATCTTTGGTTTACCGCTAATTAATAACTCTGAGTCTTTTGTTGCTAAAAACATCTGCCAAACGCAGAGCGCTGCTCTGAGTGTGTGACGTGTTCAAACGCCCTCAGAAAGGGGAGACGCCGCTGGTCCAGGAGCTTCGTCTTAATGATGGTCGGTTTAAGTCTTATTTTAGGATGAGTCAGGGACACTTTGTCACCGGACAATTTGTGAAATATTTTCAACTTCAAAAAGGGGTCAGACTGCCAGAAAGGTTAAGAACCCTGCTTTAGAGACGAATGTCAGTTTTTGAGCTTTCGGAGCATCGATGGTAATTAAGAGCAAATAATTGAAGCTTCGCAGAACCTCTTGTGCGTTTATCCTTCCTCTGCTGTTCTGCCAAAGTCCTTCTGGACAAGTCCCGCCACTCGGCCGCCATCTTGGCAACGCCTCCGGGCAGCTATTTCAGACTAACACCACCAGGCTCCTGTCTGAATGAAGGGGCAGAGCGCCAGAGCTGCACTTTCTCTGGTCACCGGGACACAAAAACTACATGAACAGATATAAAATCGCTGAAACATTTTGACAACTTTGCACAGTTGACTGTTAAAAGCAGACGATGGCTTTCTAGCGGGAGGGGCGGGATAAGCGCCATCTTTACAGGCTGTCCGCCATAGAGTTGTAGTGAGGATGTGCTTGAGTGGCGCCTCCTCTAAAATGTCTCTGGTTCTGTTTATATCCATCAGATACGCAGCTCAAACTCAGACTCTGCCTCCAAAACTATATTTTCTTGAATTTACCGGGTGGCTATGATGGTGATGATGATGATGATGGTGATGATGATGATGATGATATTCACCGCAGCAGATCTGAGAGGCGACTTGAGGATCATCACAAATACGTTTGTGAAATTCTGCCTACTGTGGGGACGGACGCAGCTTCTGCACACGATACGACACCCAGGTGGTCTGAAAAGCAGTTCGGATAAAAGACTGAGAAAACAGCTCTTTTGTTTTCAAGTGTTTGTGTCAGCTGGTTCTGGTTCTGAAGAGGACCGCCCCCCCTCCCAGCAGCTCCCGTCCTGCTGAGGTTAAAGAGGATTATCGCCTCTGCAGGAATGTGTCTCGGCTGCAGCTTCCTGTTGTTAAAGGAGTTTTTCCAGTCGGCTGCAGAGCTGCGAGCCTCAGACTCTGGACCCGCTCTGAACCAGGAACCTGAACGATACCTCGTGTTCTGGAATAAACTGCATGTTCTAAAACTGAACACTCAGCCTGCGTCTGATTGGCCAGCCTCCAAAATAAAACCTTGAATTTATTTATTTTCCTGTTTTTAATCATCTTTAATCGTTTAATCTAATGGAATTATAATACACTGATCAGCCCTGATGCATGCTGGGAAGGTTACCTGTTTTCTGAGGTGGATGATGATGTCAGAGGGCCTGGACAGAGTCTCTTTCTGATTGGTCCTCAGAGCAGGAAGTGACCCTTTGAAAGCAGAAAAAACAACATGAACATCATCAGCGGATGATTGTTTCCTCTTCTTCACGTGTTTCTGAGCGTGAACGCGTCTCACCGCTGGGACTCCTCCAGGGGTTGGAGATCTTCCGCACTTTGAGAGGAGCTCCTGCAAACTGAGCGTAGGCCTGCAGACACAAAGCAGCAGATCAACGCCACAGCAGAGCGGCGAGGAGAAACATGATGATAAAAATCCATCTCAGTGAAGCATCAGAACGTCTGACTCTGTCTCTTCTACAGGACTCAGTGCTAACAATTCAATCTAAACAATAATAACAATAATAACAATTGACCCCGATACGTCCTGAACAACATTTTTCAGTGTAAAAGCCTCCTTGTCAGTCCTGTTGTCCAGCAGTTAACTGCGGGAGAAACCTCTGGCTGAATGTTTTTATTTTTGCCGTTTTAAGTCCAAAAATCCGCCTATTCGACTCTCGTCAGGCGCCATCTTGATTGTTGCGCTTCCTGCTCTCGTCTTTTCTGCAGAGGAAACGTGCCGCTTTGGAACACACGGTCTTATTCGCCATTTTGTGGCCGACCCGTTGGAGACGCATCAACCCGCAGGTACCAAATGGAAGGGGATGCTCTGTTCTCACGCTACAGGCCTGTAAAGCGTCGGTGTGCTTCTGCTGACGGGAATGTTGATGGATATTCACTGTTTTTATCAATATTTCAATGTTTTGTTATTTGGAACTTGGTTTTATGGACAGAAAAAGAGTTTCAAAGATAACTCCCAATAAAAGTCAACATTTAAACAGTAAACATGGACATTCGCCTGGTTTAATAACTTTAAAAACTTCTCTGACTGACAGGACCGTCAGCCTGTTTTCAAACTTGAGAAAATGGCGGCCGAGGAAGCTGCTGTGGTCATAAAAGTAAAAGTATGTTGAAAAAGTCAACTGAATTGAGCAAACAAGCCAGCTAAAAAAAGGGATCTCTACATTTACATTTACGAAACATCTCTAGAAGGTAAAAAAGTCTTGCTGAAACTTCATCAACTTCAACGTCATATTTTTTGTTTTGCACTCAATACAAGAAAAGCTGTCAAGATTGTTTAAAAAACATCCGACAGACCCGAAGATTAGTAGACCGACACAAACTATAGAACTGCAAGTACACTCTCCAGGTTTAGAGTCTGCGGGGGTTCAGACTGGAGACGGACCGAGAGGCCTCGACAGTGTGGTGCTGATGGGAAACCTCGTCCCACAATGCAATGCACAAAGAAAAAACAGGTGGAAACTCTGTGTTACAGTAAGACTTTCTTCCTCTTAGTGAAGTTTAACATTTTGCATCATCTGGAGTTTGTTAAAAATAAAAAGTGCACATGAAGCCCTGTCTGAAAGGAGGCCGGTCTGCAGTGTTGGACATGACTCAGTTCTTCTGGAAATAAAAAATAAAAGCTTCATTCAAATTTTACAACCAGAAAAACTGAGGAAGAATTTCCTCATAAATCTGCAGCCGTGAAGTCAGAGTTTGTTCCACCAAGAGAAACAGGCGGCACACGGCCGACTGGCTGCGGGTAGTGCTCACAATGTGGGGCTGAAACAACGGCATGAAACAACACAGGCTGAATAACGGGCTGAAACAACGGGCTGAAACAACACAGGCTGAAACAACACAGGCTGAATAACGGGCTGAAACAGTGGAAACAACAGGCTGAATAACGGGCTGAAACAACACAGGCTGAAACAACACAGGCTGAATAACGAGCTGAAACAACAAGCTGAAACAACACAGGCTGAATAACGAGCTGAAACAACAAGCTGAAACAACAAGCTGAAACAACACAGGCTGAAACAACAAGCTGAAACAACACAGGCTGAAACAACAAGCTGAAACAACACAGGCTGAATAACGGGCTGAAACAACACAGGCTGAAACAACAAGCTGAAACAACACAGGCTGAAACAACAAGCTGAAACAACACAGGCTGAAACAACAAGCTGAAACAACACAGGCTGAAACAACAAGCTGAAACAACACAGGCTGAAACAACAAGCTGAAACAACACAGGCTGAAACAGTGGAAACAACAGGCTGAATAACGGGCTGAAACAACGGGCTGAAACAGTGGAAACAACACAGGCTGAATAACGGGCTGAAACAACAGGCTGAAACAGTGGAAACAACAGGCTGAATAACGGGCTGAAACAACACAGGCTGAATAATGGGCTGAAACAACAAGCTGAAACAACACAGGCTGAAACAACAAGCTGAAACAACAAGCTGAAACAACAAGCTGAAACAACACGCTGAAACAACACAGGCTGAATAACGGGCTGAAACAACACAGGCTGAAACAACAAGCTGAAACAACACAGGCTGAATAACGGGCTGAAACAACAAGCTGAAACGACACAGGCTGAAACGACACAGGCTGAAACGACACAGGCTGAAACGACACAGGCTGAAACGACACAGGCTGAAACGACACAGGCTGAATAACGGGCTGAAACAGTGGAAACAACAGGCTGAATAACGGGCTGAAACAACACAGGCTGAATAATGGGCTGAAACAACAAGCTGAAACAACACAGGCTGAATAACGGGCTGAAACAACAAGCTGAAACAACACAGGCTGAAACAACAAGCTGAAACAACACAGGCTGAATAACGGGCTGAAACAAAACAGGCTGAAACAACAAGCTGAAACAACACAGGCTGAAACAACAAGCTGAAACAACACGCTGAAACGACACGGGCTGAAACGACACAGGCTGAAACAACACAGGCTGAAACAACACAGGCTGAAACAGTGGAAACAACAGGCTGAATAACGGGCTGAAACAACAGGCTGAAACAGTGGAAACAACAGGCTGAATAACGGGCTGAAACAACACAGGCTGAATAATGGGCTGAAACAACACAGGCTGAATAACGGGCTGAAACAACACAGGCTGAATAATGGGCTGAAACAACACAGGCTGAATAACGGGCTGAAACAACAAGCTGAAACAACAAGCTGAAACAACAAGCTGAAACAACACAGGCTGAATAACGGGCTGAAACAACAAGCTGAAACAACACAGGCTGAAACAACAAGCTGAAACAACACAGGCTGAATAACGGGCTGAAACAACAAGCTGAAACAACACAGGCTGAAACAACAAGCTGAAACAACACAGGCTGAAACGACACAGGCTGAAACGACACAGGCTGAAACAGTGGAAACAACAGGCTGAATAATGGGCTGAAACAACGGGCTGAAACAGTGGAAACAATACAGGCTGAATAACGGGCTGAAACAACAGGCTGAAACAGTGGAAACAACAGGCTGAATAACGGGCTGAAACAACACAGGCTGAATAACGGGCTGAAACAACAAGCTGAAACAACACAGGCTGAATAACGGGCTGAAACAACAAGCTGAAACAACACAGGCTGAATAACGGGCTGAAACAACAAGCTGAAACAACACAGGCTGAATAACGGGCTGAAACAACAAGCTGAAACAACACAGGCTGAAACAACAAGCTGAAACGACACAGGCTGAAACGACACAGGCTGAAACGACACAGGCTGAAACGACACAGGCTGAAACGACACAGGCTGAATAACGGGCTGAAACAACACAGGCTGAAACAACACAGGCTGAATAACGGGCTGAAACAGTGGAAACAACAGGCTGAATAACGGGCTGAAACAACACAGGCTGAATAACGGGCTGAAACAACAAGCTGAAACAACAAGCTGAAACAACAAGCTGAAACAACACAGGCTGAAACAACAAGCTGAAACAACACAGGCTGAATAACGGGCTGAAACAAAACAGGCTGAAACAACAAGCTGAAACAACACAGGCTGAAACAACAAGCTGAAACAACACGCTGAAACGACACGGGCTGAAACGACACAGGCTGAAACAACACAGGCTGAAACAACACAGGCTGAAACAGTGGAAACAACAGGCTGAATAACGGGCTGAAACAACGGGCTGAAACAGTGGAAACAACACAGGCTGAATAACGGGCTGAAACAGTGGAAACAACACAGGCTGAATAACGGGCTGAAACAACAGGCTGAAACAGTGGAAACAACAGGCTGAATAACGGGCTGAAACAACACAGGCTGAATAATGGGCTGAAACAACACAGGCTGAATAACGGGCTGAAACAACAAGCTGAAACAACAAGCTGAAACAACAAGCTGAAACAACACAGGCTGAATAACGGGCTGAAACAACAAGCTGAAACAACACAGGCTGAAACAACAAGCTGAAACAACACAGGCTGAATAACGGGCTGAAACAACAAGCTGAAACAACACAGGCTGAAACAACAAGCTGAAACAACACGCTGAAACAACACAGGCTGAAACGACACAGGCTGAAACGACACAGGCTGAAACGACACAGGCTGAAACGACACAGGCTGAAACAGTGGAAACAACAGGCTGAATAATGGGCTGAAACAACGGGCTGAAACAGTGGAAACAATACAGGCTGAATAACGGGCTGAAACAACAGGCTGAAACAGTGGAAACAACAGGCTGAATAACAGGCTGAAACAACGGGCTGAAACAACGGGCTGAAACAACGGGCTGAAACAGTGGAAACAACAGGCTGAATAACGGGCTGAAACAACGGACTGAAACAACACAGGCTGAAACAGTGGAAACAACAGGCTGAATAACAGGCTGAAACAACGGGCTGAAACAACGGGCTGAAACAACGGGCTGAAACAGTGGAAACAACAGGCTGAATAACGGGCTGAAACAACGGACTGAAACAACACAGGCTGAATAACGGGCTGAAACAACAAGCTGAAACAACACAGGCTGAATAATGGGCTGAAACAACAAGCTGAAACAACACAGGCTGAAACAACAAGCCGAAACAACAAAGGCTGAAACAACAAGCCGAAACAACACAGGCTGAATAACGGGCTGAAACAACAAGCTGAAACAACACAGGCTGAATAATGGGCTGAAACAACAAGCTGAAACAACACAGGCTGAAACAACAAGCCGAAACAACAAAGGCTGAATAACTGGCTGAAACAACACAGGCTGAATTACGGGCTGAAACAACAAGCCGAAACAACACAGGCTGAATAACGGGCTGAAACAACGGGCCCAAACAGCAGAGCTGCAGACGACCTCATGCTCCTCCACCTCTCCGTCTGTCCAACAGTTAACAGCTAATTCACCATCAGGAGGTGTTGGCGGTCACTTTGTGAAGCCCCGCCTCCTCTCCAACCCACCGCTATCCTGTAGCAACATGTTCATGATCGCCTGATTGAAACAAATATTGATATCTGGGTGTTTAAAAATCTCCCATATAACATAAACACGTCGTAAACAACAATCTTTTTATAAAGAATTGTGACCAAGATACATTTCACAGTGTGAAAATCACCGTGTCTCTTTCTGATGATCATGAAGTGTAAATCAGTCATTCAGGGAAAGTACATAATGTACACAGAGTACTGCATGTTCGTGTACTAACAGAAGTATCTGAATTGAGACACAGTTAAGGTTTGTGTTTTGCTAGCTGGCCATATCGCTGCGTTTTGTTGATACATGTTCAAAGTCATGTCGATGAGCTCATCAGTATCACTTTTCATGAACTGACCAATCACAGACTGGAGGGGGCGGGACATTAAGACAGACAGGACGGCCACCAGGTAGAGCATTTTTCTGCACAAGAATTTAATGAATAAAAACACAAAATGAAACTGCTGTTACTGGAATTAATATTTTACTAGAGGTAAGTTATCTGAAATATAATAATATGTGAAAGTATATGAACAACATTAATATATTATATATATATAAAGAAATAAAGAAATAAATAATAAATAAACAGTACACATTTTATTTAATGTTATAATATTATACTAATACATTACATTTCTACTTGTTCAGGTTGTGGATCGAGTCTCTGCAGAGGACAGATTTAGCCGCCTCCTCCTGTTTAACTGAAGTTATTATAAATTAATTATTATAAATCTTGTTCAGCGTGCTGTGGGCTGTGTTGGTGCTGCTGGTGGACCGTGGATCTGTTCCTGATTAAAAACTACAAGTCCCACACGCCACAAGCCGCGAAGCACCAACCAGAGCTTTCTGATCCTGAGTCCAGATACACACTCGCAGTATTAAATACTATGTGCTCGTTAGCGTGGAGCCCTGCAGCGGTTTGGAAAAACTGGCGGTGATTCCCAGCCGCCACAGATTAGTGTTTTCCAACCGCTCCATCGTTACCCAGACTGCACTGCTGCCCTGCGCTCAGATCTCAGTCCAACACAAACATGTTTCAGGTTTAAGGGTTCAGAGGAGCAGGGTGGCCCTCAGCGCGGTCTGCAGGCGGGATCACTGCTTCCAGCCTGTCACCAGACTCCCAGGAACACATCAGTCATGGAAACCGTCTGCAGCACCGGTGCATCCTGGGTAACCACGAGTCCAGTCTTTAACTAAAGCGTGACTCGTCTGTCTTTCAGCATTTAGAACACGTTTGAAAACACTTTGACTTTGATTCTTGCTAATCAATACTAAGGCTGATCCATACAGACGCCGCCTCACCTGCTCTGACATCACAAGACATTATGAGACTAGCGATTATTCCCATTAACCTGCGGACTAATTCCTCAACCAATCAATGAACTGATGTCCTCGCATTTAACGGCCTGGTTCGTTTATGTAAACAACACAGCAGAGGTCGATCGATCGCGGATCAGCGTGATCCCGTGGGAACAGGACTAACGGCAGCCGGAGCACCGATCGATCGGCGCTGCCTCCCGTCACACTGTGACCAAACCGATTCTGGATCAACGCTAATGAAGCAGCCTGCTGTCGGGAGGAAGTGCTGAAGTACAGAAGAGACAGCAGCTTCACACAGCAAAGGCACCCTGTTACTGATTACTTATCGACGGAATGATTCGCTGGGGACCCCCCTGGAAACCCCTCAAGGACCCCCTTTGAGAACCACTGTGAGGCCTAACAGGGTCCGGTGGGTCTGGGTGTGAGGAGTGGAGCGGATCTGGACCTTTTGTTGATCCGGCTCCGGCTCTTTATGCAGAGCAGGAGTACAAGTACTGTGGTATTTACTCAGAGCGAGTCCGTCCCGGCGGTTAAAGCTACTTAGCTGCCATCTGGTGGTCGTGTGAGGAGCTGCACATGTGATTTCAGATATCAGACCAGCTTTGTTACCCAGCAGGTTTACAACACAAGGAATTAGCTTTAAGTCGCTTTGGATAAAAGCGTCAGCTGAATGAATAAAAGTAATAAACATCTATAAAATTGAAAAATAAAGAATAATTAAGAATATGGCAGTCTGAGCTGCACTTCTTAGATTTCATTTGGATTTTCACTGATGATAAATAGGGATGGGGATCGATACCCGGTTCTAAAAGGACCCGGTTCCAAAATGCAATGAGGTCTGAGCTTCTCGCTACGTTATTGAGACTAGTCCTGTAATGAGCGTCAAATCTGGTTTAATTTGACACGTGATGGATAAGAAAGTAGGGCTGAACGATTAATCCTTTTCAAATCCAAATTGCGATTTGAAAGAACGCGATTAGCTAATCGTGAAGACGGCGATTAAATTGTAGGTTAATTTTACATCTGACCCGTTTTAAACAGTCGTGCAGTTACAGATTCATGCCGTTATCATCCTTGTGTGAGAGACCTGCTAACCAATGAGGACTAGTCTCAACCTTCCTCAGAATGTAAAGACAGATAAGCGGTATGAAAACCTTCCAGCTGTGTTTTCCTCTGCCGTTGTTGCTGCAGCGGTCTGTGTGACGGCGGGAGCAGAGGGCTCTGTGAGCGGGCGGCTGGCTGGCCGGCCTCACACGCTCCTCCCGCGGGTCACAGCAGGCTTCAACCTGCCGCCTCAACTCCAAAAATATTCAGGCACATTTTTGTTCCATCACTTCTTGTAAAACTGTCAATATTGTAAATCTGCACAGCTGATTTCACCTCAAAACTTCTCAGAAGTGGATTTAGTGATGAAAACTGCCGTCTGTCTGCTGCAGCAATGATGATGCAGTGAACAGTGAATATTCTCTCTGACCAATCAGCAGTCTGTCCTGTTTTCACCTTACATTTTAGTTTCCCTCAGCTCGACAGAGGTGAGATGAAAAAAAGTACCTGGAAGCAGGAACAGGTGCAACATTTCTACAATGGAAAACCAAACAAAGGCGAGTGGAGCCAAAGGGCCTCCGCTCAGACTAGCTTGGTTTGAGGGCGTGTCTGACCCCGCCAGCCGCTCGGCGAGCTTTATGACGTGTTTTCATTGTGACGTCACAAGTAAAGGAAGTGAAGGGCTGGACTACAAACCAGCTGTTTTCAGTTCAGAGCAGAGTTTTCTGTGGAGATGGGAACTCCCTTTGGGCTTTTTCACTTTGCAAACCTGTTACAGCACAAAAAAGGTTTATAAAGGTTTATAAAAGTTTATAAAGGTTTATAAAAGTTTATAAAGGTTTATAAAGTTTATAAAGGTTTATAAAAGTTTATAAAGGTTTATAAAAGTTTATAAAGTTTATAAAAGTTTATAAAAGTTTATAAAAGTTTATAAAAGTTTATAAAGGTTTATAGGGGAAAAGGCCAAAAAGCAGAATATGAACTCTTTAAATCACGGCTGCCAGTTTCATCACAGAGCTGCTAAAATGTGCCGAAGCCGTTTCACAGAGTTTTGTACCGAAAACCACAAATGAACTTTAGCAGAACCTGATATTTTATTTTCTCCAGTATTCACATATTATCTAAATGAATCTTTTGGTCGATAAATACACTTTCCTAAAGATGATGTCATCACGAGTCTTATTCTGTCTGAACAGCCCAAATATATTCGGTTACCACGGCGACTCCTGTCAACGATCCCTTTATTACAACGTGATAAGAGAATGAAACGATGACATCATTACATAATGAATAAGTTTAGATTCATTCATTTCGTTGTTTTTGAACCTTTCATGAAGAGTTTCTGTCTGTGTGGAAGGAAGCTGATAAAACTGATGAGCAGTTCAATTTATACACGACCCTCTGATCGATTAATCAGGAAGCTCGTGTTGTCCACGCCGCCTGTGACGTCATCCAATGACGACACGAGGTTGACGTTTGAAACTGGAAACGTTTGGAAAAGTGACGCAACTCTCAGATTAATCAACACAGAAACCCACCGATTAACACGCACGCGCAAACACACACGCACGCACGCGCGCACCCAGAGTTCCCTGTGGGTCTCTTCACTGCGCTGTTAGCATGCTAACGTTAGCAGCGGTTACCGTGAGATTTAACGCGCGTTTCTGCGCGTGAACGAGACCACCGGACCGCCGGTGAGCCGGTCCGGTCCGGTGCGAACGGGGACTCACCAGAACCACCAGAGAGTCCGTGTCGACGGACGGTAAACCCCAGTCTCCTTCCCAGCAAAACAACTCGTCGGGCGCCGCCATCTTCAGCCGGGACGATGACCTTTCACACCGGAAGAGGAGCTTCACCAGTTGACTGCCAAAATAAAATAGAAATCTAATCAAAATGGAATCGATTTTAGATTTTTATTCTAAAACATACAGGTGTGATTCACACCGGGGACGCTGGGGACACGTGCCCGCCACTTTTTGAAAGCATTTGCTAAAAGCTTTCGGAAAAAACAACAAAAAATGTTAAATAGCAAATAAAAGTTCTATGAGAAATACTTTAATGTAAATACAGAAGAAAAAAACAAGCTGCTGATTATATTCAATAATATTTTTATATAATGAATTGTCACCGGCCACCTGAATTTTGTGTTTCCCTTCATATAAATTTCCACCACAGGAAATCCACCATCTCTAGAATGCAGGAAATCAAGAGTTTAACGCTCAAAACCTTGTGGAGGAACCCCAGACCCCCCAAATCAATTAGCCTGTTTCATCAAAGAATATTTCTTCTAAACAGCATTGGAGTATCTTCTTGTCTCGTTCTCGAGACTCCAGTTTTGTGCTTTCTCACGTGTTTCGTCACATCCCTCATATGAGCCTTTAAATGTCCCCAACATAAAGTGACGCCCTTGAAAACACACACATATATACATATAGGTAACATGGGGTCAGACCGGGTCAGACCGGGTCAGACCGGGTCAGACGGTAATTCTACCAAAAAACATAAAATGTCACATTTTTTTTCTCAACATTTCTTCTTAATAACTAAATAATTCCTCTGTTTCATCCCAATTTTTTATTATTTGATCAAAGCCATTCTGACCTAATTTGATCTATATTTTTTTGTCAGTTAAAATAAGCTGTCCATTTTATTTATTGTGTTTATTTATATGTATGTATATTTACATTAAGGGGAGCGTTAAGATAAGTTTGTTTAGAGAGAAAGATTTTTATAGTTTTTGGTTAAAGTAGTAAAATGCTAGATTAGTATGTTTGGGATAAGACGCCCCCCCGTCGCTGTCCGTCTCCCTTTATGGTCCATATTTTCTGCTCCAGTCCATGAATGTCTTGTTCCAGTGGTCCACTTGTCATCAGGTTACCTGGTTGCCTAGCACCTGACGCGGACCTTGTTGACCCAGGTGACGTCCGAGCCGGTATGGCTCTTGTATTTGGGGTTTCACTTGTGCTTGAGGTAGGCTGGTAGCATTAAGGGTCCACCTGGATACCTCTGCCCTGACTGGGATTCGAACCCACGATCACCTGTACCAAAGTCAGTTGCATTAACTACTGAGCCCAGACCCCAGGTGCAGACTGTGCGAGGAGGCCCCTGAGACAGTACAGCACATAACAGCAGGGTGTAAGATGCTGGCAGGAAGTGCGTACATGGAACGCCATAACCAGGTAGCTGTCATAGTGTACAGGAACATCTGCCGTGAGTACGGGCTGGAAGTCCCAAGGTCAAAATGGAAGACACCTCCTAAGGTATTTGAGAATGACCGAGCTAAGACAAACTGGTGATGGACGTTTTTGCATGGACTGATTACCACCGCTGTATCACCTGTTGAACACAGAACGTCTCAGTTGTATCCACTCTTAGGTGATATGGATCACTCGAGTGATAGTGACACAGATAATAGTAATAGTCCAATGGAGCAAGTGCCTGATCTACTCCCTGATCCTGGAGATTATGAGCGCGTCTCCTTTGTATAAAATACAACATAACTCTGAGTGTAAACTTATTTGGGCTCATAAAAATGATCTTGCAGTCGAAAATCTTGAAACGAAGTGACTGAGCTTAAGTGAAATGAGAATGTGAGCAAATATGTGATAAACAGGAGGGAAATGTTGGAACCAGTATGTATATAAGTTATCTCATATTTACTCTCGCCAATGCAATCTGAAACAATATGGATATATATATAAATCAAGACGTGTACTAATGCAAGTGTGTAAGTCTGTCTGCAGAAATGTAGTGACAGGAAGTCTACAGCGGACAACAACAACAACAAAATAACAGGAACTGAGTCCTGGTCCTGAGAGGCGACTGAGCTTAATGTACATAGTTCCTGGAACAGTACTGTCCAATAATATATGTGACGTTGATCACGTTTCATGTTGCTGCTGCACCCCCTTTCCCTTTAGAGCAGCATGTAACTAGGAAACGCCCTGAATATAATAAAAAGAGAGGAAACGGAAGAGATACCTCAGAGCGGTTGGAGTTTGTAACTGAGTGCATCTCTGTTCGTTCTCCTCGCGAGTAAAAAGGCACCAACTCTCTCGTCTTTCTTCCTTGTCTGATATATTATAGGTGTCTGAACCTGACACTAACCAACCAGACATCGTGTTGATCGACAATCAGCAGAAGAAGGCTGCAGTGATGTGTCAGTCCCAAGAGACAGCAACATCAAGAAGGAGGAACACGAGAAGCTTCAGAAATACCAAGGCTGAAAGAGGAGCTAGAAAAGATGAGAGTGGTGATCTGAGCACTGCAGATTCCAGGTCTCTGTCCAGAAGAGTGCAGTCCTAGGAACAGCTAAGATACTGAGCAGACCCTCAGACTCCCAGGACTCTGGCAGAGGACCCGAGCTGGAGGAGGACACATGCCTGCAAGAGCTGAGAGGGGGATTTGTTTTTTATATATATATACTGTATTTACACAGTAGTGCTTAACTATTAGTTACTAGTAATGAAAAGGTGATCTCTGACCTGCAGAGCCTCATCATAGATTTCAATGGCAAAAATTTGAAATATTTACCAGTAAATAAAAGAACAGTTTCTATTAAATATTGATTAGATACAAGTACTTAATTTTTAGTTTCTAGTAACTCATGAAGAGGTGATGAATGAACAGAGAATCATCTCCGCCAGCGGTTTGTCTCCATCAGCCATGTTGCATCATGTCTGACTTCTGTTTTTATCCACTGTTTTTTAGGCTTCAGATGAAAAATAGTCTTTTGATTAAATCTGGCACATTTGCTTCAGTGTTTTACTAACATGCTCTGCCCCTGCTAAATAAAATGAAAGGAACAGAAACAGCTGATTCAATCTGGTGGCTTTTCTCAGATCATCAGATGTTTTGTGTGCAAACAGCAACTTCAGCTGGTGCAGTATGTCCCTTTGAAACGTAGAAGTGGAGCAGAAGTAGTGAAAAGGCAATAAAGAGAAGTGATCCTAGCACCACGTCGAGGGTCTAATATTAGTGAGCTGACTGTGAGACTGTGGAGTTGCATAAAATAGTGTCAGTGAGTTTCACTTCATGAGTCACTGTGAGCTCAATAATGACGTCACCGACAGAAACTCCTCCACACGAACACAATTGACTTGGTCAGAACATCAACAGTAAAAATAAATACAGTAAACCTCCCTCAGCTCGCCGCCACCAACCAAACTCTGTGCAATTTTCCTAGTATTTAAAAAAACAAACATTGGTAAACTTTTTTATTAATATTTTCTGTACGTTATGTTCAACTTATGTTTCTATTTTAATTTTTACATCTTTAAACATTTAATCCAAAATCAGAATCAGCTCCTCTCACAGTCTGAATCCGTCCTGTGTCCTGCTGCAGTAACAGGGACGTTAGTCAGAGCTAGAGACCCGTCTGCATCCTGCTTTGTTTACTCGTGGACTTTTCCCTGGTAAATAAAGAAGTATATAAAAAGTCCTGTTTCGAACTGAGTGCGATGAAAGAAACTCTCACTTCTCTTTTGTCTCTAAGCTGATTCACTTACTCAGCCGTGTTTCACAGTGTCTCACTACCAGAGCGGAAGTAAAAACAGATTAAAATAAAGATTTATAGGCAGAGGCCAGCTTCATAAAAGGCCATAAAAAGGCGCAGTTTGGTCATTAGTCTCGTATTTCCCCTGTGGAGGAGGAGTCCACTTTTTCTCTGAAAAAGAAGAAACTCTCAAAGAATTTATTTCAAATTAAACCAAAATACTTTTTATTGACATGTCTGACACTTCATATTATACAATAAATTACAAAAAGGAATAAAGACACATTAATAGAGAAGTAACACAGAGCCAACAGCAGGACGGACGTTGTGAAACGTCCCACTTTGGTTCAGTTTAGGCAACAGGTTCAGATGGTGGTTTGCATTAAAATCAGATAAAGTCCTCTACAAAATGTTCTTTAGCTCCAAACACGTCACCTCTGACTTCCTTTGACATGGGACTCGGTCTGATGATTGAGTAACTTACATAACTTCACTAAAAACACTGAATGTTGACATTTTGGAAACGAACACCGGCCTCCTGACTGAAGGTCCCTTTTCTGGTCCACCGTCCAGCCAGACCAGCTCCTCACTGGGACCTTCTTTCATTTACACCAGGCCTACTTTTAGAGATGCTACAGGGCTTCTGTTAGCGCGTTGGACTATGACGCTAACGGGCTCCCAGCCTGTGACGTTCTGCAAGGTTCTGGGTTCAACCTGCAGAGCACGAAGCTGTTTCTGTTTGTTTCTGGCAGAATGATTCAACTGAGCCTGAGCTGGTCAACACGTTTAGACAGTTTTACTTCACAGATGAAAGAAAGACGAAAGCCAACTACAAGTCCCAGAAAGCATTGCTGTAAGAACGGCTGTGGTTCAGACTGCTCGGACATTTACAAGCTGACGCCGAACGTGAGCTTAGAGAACACGACCGTTTGTCAGGTGTGTCGCCAGCTCAGGCCTCAGGATGTCCATTTTAATGACAGCGAGCGGCGTAAACTGTGTCGAGCTGCATCAGTTCCTCAAAAGTCAGTAAACTTTCTATATTTCCTGATGTTTTCACATTTTTAACGTTTTCCTGAACAACTTTCAGAGATTCTTTACTGAAACCTGGCAAAATATTTCTACATTAGTTTACATGCAGAACAGGTTCCACCGTATTATGTAGAATATTATTATTTTTATTTAAATACAGGCAAATGTACTTTGTGTTGTTTGTTAGTTTAGCTCTCCTGTTCGTGTGACGTCACTCAGCTTCTCGTGCAGTCGGGAACATCAAGAATTCAGTCGTAAAACGTTTTCGATTGAAAGACATGTTTCCATGAAAAGTTCTGCAACGGGCTGCGAGGTGTGTTTTCTTCTGTTTGGTGGGCGTCTCACAGGTGTTACCCAATCAGCTGCGACAACTTTGTAAACACAGCGGCGTTAAAAAGGCAGGGAATGCAAACGCTTGCGTGTTCGAGGCCCCACCGTTTCTGTTGAAGAGAACGTTTTGCTACGTTTTGTCGGCGCTGAACTCGCCGCAGGTTTCTTGGGTTCACAAGTCAGAGCTCCAACGTCAAGTGGCGCTTTTCCTAGTTGGAGGTTGAAAATGTCTGAGTTTCCTGGAACGCAGCATTAGTTCTCTCTGACATCACAGCTCTGGATGAGCTTTTTGCGGATGACTTGGTTGCAGCGGAAGTTTTGCTTCATGATTTCAGAGGAGAGTGCTGAGACGGTTCTGTTGCTGTTGGCGACAGCTCTGGTCGGTTTGGCGTCTTTAGCAGCTCTCTCTGTGGTTTCTATTGTTCTCTGAGTTCAGCGCCGACAAAACGTAGCAAAACGTTTATTTTCAACAGAAACGGTGGTTCCCTGAAACGCTGCTGTGAACGCAAGCCAATGAATTTTCCTGCCTTTTTAACACCGTTTTGTTTATAAACTTGACGCAGCTGATTGAGTAGCAGCTGAGTGACGTCACACAACAATGGCAATATAACATAAACTAAAAGGCAACATAAAGTATATCCGTGCATTTAAATTAAAGAGGTGGTATTCTGCTTTTAGGCTTTCCCCCTCCCCAAAGGGAGTTCCCATCTCCCACAGAAAACTCTGCTCTGAACTGAAAACAGCTCGTTTGTAGTCCAGACGCTTCCCTTTCAAAACTTTATGGATACAGATTAATAACTCACCGCTCTGAAACTCTCGCTCCAGTCCGTGTTGCCGAGCCGGTGGCAACACGTACGGCTGAACCCGAGCTGTTTACCGGCTTCTCGCTGACCCGCCCTTCTCTGCTTCTGATTGGCTAGTAGACCTTAACTAGGAACTGAGCATGTGCAACTCCCAACAAAGATCATTAGAGACAAGATGTATCACTCCATAGCTAAAACGAAGCCTTCAACACAGGCTGAAAAGAGGAGCTGCAGCAATGTGCAGTAGGACAAAAATATAACCATGGAAACCTGCTCTGGTACAAACTCTAAATAAGATGAGGAACCTGAGAATGAGCAGAAAACCACCTCTTTAAAGTAATCCATTCTTTCATATAGTAAAACCTGTTCTGCATGTAAACTGATGTAGAAATGTTTTGCCAGTGTTTTTAGGTAGCTGGTTACAGTAAAGTCATCTTCTCTTCACAAGAGTTATTCAGCCAAATGTTAAATCATTTGAAAACATTAGGAAGTATAATCTACAACATATACTGACTGTTGAGGACGACCACCTCAGTCACTTGTTTTTATTAAAATTTTAATCAGCACCAAGGGCAGTGCTGAGAGGCGTCAGGCTCCATCATGCACCTGGAACGCTGCGAGGCTGGAAGTCGGACATTTCCCAGTTCTGACCGGTATGAACGCGTCATGTTCCCAAAACAAAGTGGAGGAAAAGAACCAGAGCGTCGACTGATGGTAAATTTCCCTGAGAGACGAACACATGAGATCCCTCTGCTGTTTCTGCACCCCGACAGAGGAGCTTCAGTAAAACTGGACGGTGACACGCAGCTAAGCTCCGTTAGCTTCCTCCATGTTGGACTAAAAATAAATTTGAACTCGATTCTCGGGTTTACTTCAGTGATTCCACCGATCGAAGCTTTTCTGCATCTGATGTTGGACGACAGGACCTGGCTCACAGTCTCTATTCATCCCAAAGGTGCTGGATCAGGGTTGAGTTCAGGGCTCAGGGCCAGACAAGTTCTTCCACACCAAAATGAAACAGCAGCTACTGTCTGCTGTAGCCTAAAGATTTCCCTTCTCAAAGACCACAGCATGAAAAAACATCTAAAGTACCAGGACAGGAGTGCCCCTTACTGCAGATCCAGTTACTGGGCTGGACACACGTTCAGAGACTGACTGGGATTTACATTTTTACACTGACTGCAGAGGACGCTGCTGTGTTTCCATGTAGCAAATAATAACAAATAAAGTTTAGAGTTCACAGCAGAAAAGAAGCTCGCCAGATGTCCGACTGAGTGGACATCACACTTCCGGGCTCGGAACGATGAACCTTTTCAGCAGGTAAAGACAAACGTGACGTCAGCCTCTGCTGGCCACTGAGCTGTAGATGACGGCGTCCTCGGCCTCCACCGCTGGTCTACAAGAGAAAACACAGGATGAGTCGGGGGCTGATGTGAAAGTCGCCACCTCCTCCACAGACAGAAGCCCGGTCTGAATGAGATGAATGAAACTCTGGAAGGAACAAAACTGTGCTGCAGGAATCCTTCTTATTCAGCCTGGTTTAGACTGCATTCACTTTTATTCTGCACAGTAAAAGTCAGTGCAGTCTAAACGGCGTGAAATGACAAAGAATGCGTTGGAATATCACGCCATTTTACACCTACTGTCACAGCTAAAATCAGTGTGTGATATATTATTATTATTATTATTATTAAGGCAGCAGCAACTCTACTGAAGGCTCGTTCAAAATTGCAATTAAACGTCCTCCTTGTGCGAACATTATAATCCCCGTTTGTTTCCAGTTTCCACGTCAAGCTTCCTGTAAATAGTCAAAGTCTGAACCATCCAAAAAACGCTTTCACACCAGAAACGAGACGAACCATGGTCCAGTTTGATCCGGACCGCCTCTTTTGGTCCGCGGGAGGTTTCACACCTGCGATTTTGGTTCGGACCAAACTGGAAAGTTGGACTGAACGATTTTGGAAAATAATCTAATTGCGATTTAATATGCGATACGTTTTTAAACTCTTTCTCTTCTGTATTATTCAAAACGGACAAGCAGTAAATCAGAGTGAAGTCTGACCAACAGACACTGTTCTGTCTGTGTTATTATTATTATTATTATTATTATTATTATTATTATTATGAGCAACGGTGGAGAAGAAATATCCATTATTATAATATGAGAAAGATTTGAGAGTCAAGTCATTAAATAATGTGATATAATATCATCAGCTCGGCCTACAGACCGCAAGAAAACCTAAGTTTACCAGTGTGAACCCTAAACCCACAGTTGCACCACGTTACCCGCGGGTGGCGGCGCTACTTTCATTCCACGTGTGACGCCAAAGTTTCTGTGGTCAGTTTGCGTCAGTTTGTGACGGTAAAGGCAGAAGAAGATGATATTTAACAGAAACGAATGAGGAAGGAGGTGGTTTGTTGAGTGTTGCTAACGCGGAGCCATAAAAGGTTAAAATGACGCTAAAGGGACTTGACCAAACGTCCATATGTGATATTTATCGCCGTCCCATGATGTCACGTTGGTTATTGTTGATGCCTAAACTTCTCCGCTGACCAACCTCTAAAATAAAGAGGAGGCTTGGAGGTTATCAGCCAAAGATTGTTAGTCTGTCAGAGTCCTCAGGTTTCTGCAGGACGATTAAAAACAGCTGATTTGTGAATAACCAAACAGAGACACGTCCTTCCTACCGGGCCTGGTTGTTGTGTTTGAAGTGGACGGAGACGTAGCTGACGTCCTCCACCGCCTGGCTGGGCTCCTGCGGGCGGCGCCGTCCCTCCTGCTCAGCGGGCGGCAGGACGTTGCTGTAGATGGCGTCAGGATGCTGAAAGCCACAGACATGAAGAAAGACAGGAAAGGGGTGAGGACAGAGACTAACGTCATGTGATCACATCAAGAATAAACAAGGCTTCCACAATAAGGAACCACCAGCAGGAGGTTTGAACCTGCCTTATTTTATATATTGCTCTGAGTGAACAGACACCTGCCACAGGTGAAGAAGCCCGAGCCTCCAGTCACGGAGCATTTCCAGCATTTCCAGCACTTTTGTGTTTAAAATCTCACACAAAGAAAAAAAGGCTGAAAAACACAACAAGAGTTGTCTCTTGTTGTGTTTTTCAGCTCCCACTCGGCCTTTAATCTAAACTCACTTTCAGTCTGTAAAGCATGAACATTTGATCTGTAACATCAGGCAGGGATCTTCTCTTTTTACCCCATTTAGTTCACCTGCTGCTTCTTTTTAACCCAGCTGGACGTGTTTCTGAATGTTAAACTTTAATTCATCGTGTTGAGTATTTGGGACTTATTGAACTTATCAGTTATAAAACACAAGTTTGTTCGTCTTGTCAGTTCTTTAAAGGAGGACAAAGTTAAAGCATGGACATGACCAGCTAACCACTGCAGGTAAGACTCATATATTCAGACATTGTGTTGAAGAAGAAAGAAGAACGGCCTCATACATGTGAACTGAAACTAATCTGGAATTAAAATCCTCTTTACTTGAAATGGAAAGTTAAACTGTGAGTTGTACGTTAGTTAGACTGGTTAAGGGAGGTAAAGTAATTATTTGTTTTAAGATGAAACAAGTTAAAACTAGAACCCTGGAGTTAGAAACAAAAGCAAACTTTAACTGTTCCATCCTGCAGGTCGATGAAGCAGCAGCTTATTACGACATGTGTAGGTTCTTCCTCTGGTGGAAGAAGAAGTCAGGTGACTTCTCTCAACACAAACCTCAGTCTTTTCTAAACCTGACCAAACAACGGACGGTTCACCGCGTTTACCACCAGCTCTCCTGTCGCTTTCAGACGCTTTACCATCGAGCTATTTGGTTAGCGTAGCTTCCTAACGTCTGTCCAGAGGCTGTCCAGGTGAAAAACTCGGACTGTTCTGCCTCCATGTACGACAGCCTGTTGATGAAATATTAAAAAGTGGCTGCATCACAGGTCGTAAAATAATATTATAGTATTAATTCAGCGCATCAGACGTGCGTGAACGTTAATGTCAATACTTCATTTTGCTCTGGAACTGTTGTGAATAAATAATATTTTGCTTCTAAATAATTATTTACAGTAGATTTGGGCTGATTTACAAAGATAATCGACTGTTTCCTTTATTAGCTTATATTTGTCAGAGAGCCACCGAGGAGAGCTGAAAGTCTGAGAGTCGCTCGTCATAAAAAGGATTATTTTTGTTTGTTTGATTGAAGTTTCTGCAGATTTATTAGTCAGCTTTCATTCACGGTGTCATCTCGAGCAAGAGGAAGGTGGCAGCGCAAGAACAAGAACAAAACAAGAAAAGTAAGTTGAGGGCAGCGAGCAGAGGAGCACCAGGTGTTTCCTGTTTCACAAGAGGATTCTTAATAAGAAAATCTGTCATTAATAACATGAAAACGACGTAATTAAGACATGAATCATCCTGTTCCTGTGCAGTGAATTCCATTTGTTACTTCTAGGCTGGATTACTGCAATTCCTTATTATCAGGCTGCTCGAAAAAGTCCGTTAAGACTCTTCAGCTGATCCAGAATGCTGCAGCACGTGTTCTGACAGGAACCAGGAAAAGAGATCACATTTCTCCTGTTTTAGCTTCTTTGCATTGGCTTCCAGTAAAATCCAGAATAGAATTTAAAATCATTCTTCTTACCTACAAAGCTCTTAATGGTCAGGCACCATCTTATCTTAAAGAGCTCATAGTACCTTACTACCCCACCAGAGCACTGCGCTCCCAGAATGCAGGGTTACTTGTGGTTCCTAGAGTCTCCAAAAGTAGACTAGGAGCCAGAGCGTTCAGCTATCAAGCTCCTCTCCTGTGGAACCAGGTTCCAGTTTGGGTTCAGGAGGCAGACACCATCTCCACATTTAAGAGTAGGCTTAAGACTTTCCTCTTTGATAAAGCTTATAGTTAGGGCTGGCTCAGGTAGTCCTGAACCATCCCTTAGTTATGCTGCTATAGGCCTAGACTGCCGGGGGATTTCCCATGATGCACTGAGCTCCTCTCTCCTCTACTTTCTCTCCCTCTGTATGCAACCTTATCCCATTATTGCATGTTACTAACACAACTTCTCCCCTTTCTGGTAGTCTTGTGCTTTCTCGTCTCTCTCCTCTCTCCTCCTATCACTTCCTGCAGGTTTTCTGGCTCTGGAGCTGTGGAGTCTGGATCTGTGGTTGCGGGTCATCTGCTGCCCCCGTGTTCCTGCTCGACACCCTCTGCTGCAACGACTATTGTTACTAGTCCTATTGTTATTATTGTTATTATAATCATTAACATTATGAAAAGCGCTCAGAGATAACAGTTGTTGTGTTGTTGCGCTGTATAAATAAAATTGAACCATAAAGAGCAAAAGATCTGTACCCCCCCCCCATAATAGTAATAAAAATAGTGATACCAGAAGATTAAATGTAGGAACTCACCTTCTGTTCCACTTCACCTCCCACAGCTCTCTGATGTTTATCTGCTGCTGCTGCTCGCCTCCTGCAAACATACGACCACAGCAACAACAGGAAACACGTCACACTCTAAACTGACAACGAGCTGTGGAGTCATCTGATCAGAAACAGGCAGATTCTTCTTCTCTGTGTCATCATCAGGAGAAGTGTTTTTATTATTACGAGACACAAAAATCACATTAAAAGTCTTCAGTTTTCTTGTGTTGGTGAGTGATTTGTGTTTCTGCAGGATATATATTTTATATATATATATATTTTTTTTTACAGAAAGTGGAGCCTTAAGATAAGTTTGTTTAGAGAGAAAGGTTTTTTATAGTTTTTGGTTAAAGTAGTAAAATGCTAGATTAGTATGTTTGGGGTAAGACACCCCCCCCCTGCTAACTAGCTGTATTGAGGATATTTTGAGACTTTCTGCTGAGGAAGTTCCAGCAGCTTCAGTGTTTAAAAGTCTGAGACTTAAACTATAGGAAAGCTGATAACATCAGTCAGGTTTATTACAACACAGGTCGTTAATCCTCTTGTAGTTTATTTTGTCTGTAATTTGACATATTAAAGTCATTTCACACCTTGGTTGGGGGGGAGGTTTGGTATCTTACCTCAGAGGAAAATGCCTTTTCTCTAAAAAATACATTTGATTAAATTCAAATTAATTTGTCAACTTGAGCTATTTATTTTACTTTATGTCACCCTGAGCATGGTCTTCTTAAAGATACAATAAAAACCCTGTAGTGAGCTTGGGGGGGGGGGGTAGGTTGTAAAATGTTTAGCATCCATCGTCATATCTGAACTTCTATCATGTGAGTGCAGCTGTTTGTTCAGAAACACCGACAGCTTCATTGACGTACCTCCTAATGAAGCAGAGCACCACGATGAGAGCGAGCAGAGCCAGCAGGACTCCGATCACCACGCCGGCTGTCTGAGGCAGCTTTCCATCCTCATCTGCAAAAGACGGGATGTGAACCTTTACTCCGTCATTCACAGCGTCCGGAAGAAAACCGGAACACTAAACTGACAAATCCTTCACTTTCAGAAAGTTTCTCCTTCTGATTTTCAGAATAAGACTACAGCCACACGGCTCTGCTGAACACGAACTAAACTCGGAAGAGTCCAACAAGGGGGCCGAGTCCTCAGCAGCGGATAAGACACATGCCTTTTCTGTGAGAGACCCGGGTTCGATTCCCACTGTGACACGTCCGCCAATGTGTCCCTGAGCAAGACACTGAAGGCGTGCGACCTCTGACATGTACAGCAGCTGTTAGTCGCTTTGGATAAAAGCGTCAGCTAAATGAGTAAATGTAATGTTCTGGATAAGCGAGGCCAGTGGAGAGACCATCTCTCAACAGGGGAGGAGGTCTGAGAAACAGCAGGTATCTACCACTTTGACAAGGTAAGGAGGTAAACTAAGGTTCTTTACTGTCACATAGGGAAATTTGATCTCTGTATTCAACCCGTCCCAAGTATCAGGAGCAGAGGCCAGAACACCTTAAAAGATAAAACCTGAGCAAACAAACCTTCCTCCTCTTTCTCCTTTTCCTCCACCTGCAGGCTGTACGGCAGGGAGAGGCTGCTGACGTTAGTCTTCAAACCGCAGGTGTAGTTCCCAGAATTCCCTGCAGTCAGGGGGCCGAGCTGGAGGGCGGGGCCAGACTCTGAGAGGGCGTGGCCATCTCTGAACCAGGTGACCTCCAGTTGGTGGAAGGTACAGAGTGCAGTGCAGTACAGAGTGATGTTTTCACCTCTTCTCAGCTCTCCGTCTCCTCTGGAGCTCTTTATCTGCATTCTAGTCCCATCTGATAAACATTAAAATATTAGTTTTCTTACAGTAGATTGAAATTATGAATGTGATTTAAAACTGAAGATCACAGTTACGACATTTCTGCAACAGTATTAAGGCAGACGTTGTTCTTAGTAGATCCCAGATAAAATCCAGAAGCGGTCTCTGTTGGACTACATGTAAACAGCAGACTGAAGGATGTTACCATCCATGCAGTGACGTTGCCAGCTTGACTGAAAAAGCAGAACCAGATTACGTAACTCTGTTCTGTCAGAAACTGAAGCCTGACCGCAGTGTGAGACCACAAGTACGACATTAATACTGTTACTGGTAGTAGAAGTGTCTGTGGTGGCATTCATGATCGTATCAGTATGACCACAGGGTAGTAATACTAGAATCTGAAATAAAGATGTACTTAAACTGAAAGTGTTTTATATTTTCAGGCTCATATGAACCAGACCGTGTTTCTATAAAAATACACACCGCTTCATAAAATTATGTTTACATTTCATCCTGGTTTGTTCCACACATTGAATTCTCCTCAGTGTTTTCAAATATTTTGATTGATTATTTTTTACGTGTCCAGAAAATAGGGAGCCAGGGTTAATCCTAGATGAAAGTGTGAAATTTACAAGAAGAAAAATCGGAAATCACTCTGTTTTCTTCTGAATCCGCCAGATCCGCGGCAAAGTCTCTGAGGTGCAGGATAGTGACTGTGGACTTCATTCTTTCATTTGGTTTGACATTTGTACCATTGTGATGTTCGCTGCTCAGTCAATATTAGACAGTGTGAAAAGTGTGACAACACCCCGCCCTCCCCTACAGTTTAACTCCAGTGTCGGCGGTCAGAGTTTGTAAACCCCGAGTTAACTCCGAGTAGGTTGAACTCCGTTGGTAGTGCAGGCCACAGACAAGGACTAAACAAAAACTGAGGGCTTAGACACACAGGCCAACGAGCAGAGAGGTACGCACAGCTGAAATACACCAGGTAATCAAACAGGAAGCAAATCTAGACAAGGACACATGAGTACTGAATACTACAAAGTAAAACAGGAAGTAAAGCACACAGGAAAGATTTGGGCTTTTTCACTTTGCAAAAAAGGAATATAACTCAATAAAGGAGAGGGGAAAAGCCAAAAAGCAGAATATGAACTCTTTAAACAGAATCGATAGAACACCAAACAAACATGGGCAAAATAATAGCACACATGAAATGAATCCAAAACTCATAACAGATTATAAACATTAATGCTCAGTAACATTAATAGAAGTGTTAGCTTTACAACAAGATGCTCTTACCAGAGACTGTGACGTTCACTCCTGGTTGTCCAGTAAAATGTGCTCTGATGTCATCAGCCTCCATTCTGAAGCGAAAAGTTGCCTCGTCTTTCTTCTGTACATCTGTGATCTGTAAAGTGCAGTTTCCCTTCTTGTCTCCCAGGTATTTGTAACGAGGGTTGTTGTTTCCTGAACTGCTGTCAAACACAGACGGGGTAGAGCCCTGACAAATCTGATGGTTCCGGCACCAGACGACTCTGATGATCTCTGTAGAAACTACTCTTCCATCCTGACCGACAGACCGCAGAGGTGTGAAGGTGCAGACGAGGGTGACGGTCGATCCTGTCACAGCACAAACAGGAGCTGGATAGTTCACACTCTGACCCACAGCACCTGAAACAATTAACAGAATGGTGTTAAAAACATGATTTAGTGCTTCAGTTGTTCTTTGTCTTAGTAAACTGAGGTCTACTTATAAAAGGAGATTCACATTGGTCTTGTATTAAATTGTCTTTGTGGTATTTTTTCTACACCCGGACACAGAAATATTTCTGTCTTCAGATATGTCCACAGTGTTTTTGGTCTTCACACTGAGGTCTGGATAAACTGTTCGCACAAACACAGACGTGACGTCTCAGGACTCTGCTGCCTAAAACCTGCAGATGAGCTGAAAGCTATACGGACGAACCGACATAGAGATGTTTTAGTGTTTGGCTGTCAGGAAGAAGCAAATCCAGCATCTCTGCTCAGAAACCACAGAGCTGTATTGAGGATTTTTAAATTGGCATAATTGCCGTGTCTCCGCTTAATATGTCTCTGGTCAAACCCAGGACTTTCACACATGAGAACGGCGTTCAAGTCCCACGTGAAACCCTGTAAATGTGGAGTAGTTTTAAGTTTGTGTTACAGATTTTACGTAACATTTGTACTTTAACCAAATCCACTATCTTTTACTAAACCTAACCAAACTGCGATCATTTCACATTAACCACATGTTTAATATGTGGTTTAATTGCGCATATTTATCACGTTTCTGAAAATTTGCCAATGACAGGCAGAAAGACAAATTTCCATCTGCAGTCCCAGAGCAGGCAAAAGCACAAACGTTGAAAGCAGTGAAAATCTGCAGATTCAAACAGAGCCTGCACGAAATAAAGACTAGAGACAAGACAAACAGCTCTACTGACACACAAATCAGCAATTACATGACAGCACAATATCGGGCCTGGTGAAGTGTGGATATTACGTGCAGAGCCATGATAAGCAGGAGCAGCTCTTAGACTCCCTCTTCACACGTTTGATTTCCAATAAACGGAGCTCTTAATGTTGTGGAGAAGGCGCGGTAGTTGGCACAGTTTCTTATGTGTTGCAATAAGTTGTTCTTGTAGAAGTGAGACAATCTCCTGTAGATGTTGCTCTATTAGTTTTCACTGTGATGTAAGAACTGAGGAACCATGTCGTGTAACACCCTAAAAACAAGACACAGTCTACTGTTTAGTAAGTTGTGCTTTTCATAATGTTGCAGTGATGGTATCCTTGTGGCTTCCTGTGTAGCGTTTTTATTGTATGTATTTATTCAGAGATTCTCCTGACTTTAGTCTGGTTTTATTGAAGTGTCCCCGCTTGTGAGACAGAACGTGATGTGCGGGAGGATCATTGTCTTCATGAACATTTTAGCTGTTTGACAGGAAACGCTCACACAGTACTATCATTTTGGGAGGCACTGACAAACGGCCTGTTTGTCGTCGTTTACGTATGAGGACAGGTTGGGAGCTCTGCGGGTAGACCTGATCCCACCAGCACGCCACCTGTCACGTGTTATTGTGCCAAAACAAACATGGACGCCAACAAGCAGCTTTTTAATATTCTGCGACATTTTTGCTGAAAAGGTCAAAAAAAGCATGGAGTCTGGTGAGAGCCTGGATGGAGAGGACTGTGTTGACCTCGTGTGACTCCACAAGTTTGTCTTTATACTTCCTGTCCAAACTTTTCAGCTCAGGACAGACGTGATGTTTGGGCCTGAATGTGGGGAGTTATCAATAACAGTAAGTCATCTGCATATAGTTACACTTTGTGCTTCCTCTTCCCACTACAGTATTAGCAGGTGGCTCCAGTGAGCTAACGTGTTTAGCAAGAAGGAAGTGCTCGTCTAGACAGGAAGTGGGGATGTGGTGGTCGTGTAGATTAGCTTCTGCTGTATTTCGTCAAATATCTGATTCAGCAGAGGGAAGTTTCTTCTGCACCAACAACATCCAGCTGAGCATTAGATCACATCTGGCTGCTCAGGATGTGTAGGTGTGTTTATGAGAAGATGAAATCAGGAGTGGTCTGAGAAGACGTTCAAAACACGAGTAAATAGTAATCCAGACTCAGCGCTTAGTTCCACTGTTACACACAGTCCAGCTCTCTGTGACGTGACCTTTGCAAAATATTACTCCACTGAAAGTAGAAGCCTCAATTTCTACTTGAGTCATAGTACAAATGTACTCTTAGTACAGTTGTGTGTGTCAGGGTTAGGCTTTAAATCAAAAATACAGCAAACAGTGTTATTCATTAGAAACAGGCCGTCCTTTCAATAATAATTCAGTTCACTCAGTTAGATATATCTCTGTGTGTGTGACTGGTCACCGGGCCTGACTGGGATCTAGATCTGCGAGACCGCCTCATAAACGTGGACCCAACTTTAAGAACTGTGTAACATGGTGTCTGAATCGATCAGGACTGAGACTTTTCACCTGAGTTTACTGCAGCCGTATGCAGTGTAGTTCAGAGACAAAACAGGAAGTGGAACCAACAGTGTGAGGTCATTAACCACACAAATGATGTCATCATCAGCCGCCCACATCATTGACAAATATCAAACATCAACAAATCTCAACAAATCTTTTACACACATTTTATTTATTTATTTTAATTTAATATATTATTTTCATTTTTTAACACACACGCTTACTGTTTTACTTATTTACTTTTATTTTTAATGTTTATATTTCATATATTTTTTATTGTATTAACACACAAACACAACTTTTACTGTTTTATTTCTAATGAAATGTATGAAATTAGTCCTTATGTTTTTATATATAACAACTATTGTTGCTATACATTCATGCCAATAAAGCTGATTTGAATTAGAATTTGACTTTTTACACGTCATCACCAGTGGAAGTGCCAGTGCTCCAGTGTAAAGTAGCGAGCGTGCAGCTTGTAGAACAGTATAAATCTGCTGTCCCCTCAAAATAACTCATCACACAGCCGTTAATGTCTAAACCGCTGGCTACTAAAGTGAGTTATTTTGAGGGGACTGCAGATTTATGAACGCCGCCTGGCTCTGCCATCCCTTCACACAAAGCGACCTCAGATCTGTTCTCACCTGTGACGCCACGATGGTGGAACGAGCTGCCGCACGCCATCAGAGCAGGGGCGTCCCTGCTCTGATGGCAGCTCCTGAACACTCTGCAGAGAACACTTCCTCTGATAACACCTCTTACCTTGATTGCACTTTTTCGTTAACTCTCACTTCCTTCCCTGGGTATTTACCCCATTGATGCAATATGTACTATTAGCTCTTACTAGTATGTATTGTCAGCTGTAGATCTCCTGCTGTATTTGATGCTTTGTTGATGATTGTTTGTTGTTCCGCAAATGTAAGTCACTCTGGATAAAAGCGTCTGTATGTATGTTGTCATCAGCTGGTAATCCTAACTAGAGGTGTTCATCTTGGTTTTCCAACTTAAGTCTGTTGTACTGGAATGCGGTCAGCTCGGATGTGACGTCATTCCCAACTCCAACTTCCAAGGTAGATGCAACACAGCATTAAAGTCTTTTCTCTGCTTAACATGTCAAAGTGAAACACACGTCAATTAGTAATATTTTATAGTCTTTCCAAAAACACGAGAGAACACAACAACTGGAAATAATTGTTTGTTTGTTCTAACATAAGTTGTTAACGTTAGCACGCGGCCTGGATATCTAGCTTACATCCGAGGCCAAGAGTTAGCGTGTGGAAGTCTGTTCTGGATGATGATACAGAGTTTAAGCTGCAGCTGGTTCCCTCTGGTTATTGATCAAATATTAACACAACAGGACAAAACAGTTCAGAGAACACTTCCTCTGATAACAGCTCCAACACGCACTTCCTGTGCTCTTCTTCCATCTGCTCACTGCCTCCTGTGTTGACTGCAGTTTTTTGTTAACTCTTACTTCAGGTATTTACCACATTGACGTGCTAACAGCTCTTATTGCTGTCTATTGTTACTTGTAGATCTCGCTGTATTGACGTGTTTTGTTCCTCAGATGTGCGTCACCTCATGACAAACGTACACAGAGACCTGAAGACCTCATTAAGAGTCACAGCGTCTTCTTGTTCTTACTTCATACCAGCGTTAATTTAATGAGACTTTTGTTCTTGTTAAAACAACACGTCAGTGTGTCTTATAGAAAAGCTTTACGTCACTGCACTGGACAGTGAGTATGTCCTTTTATGTATTCATCACACTGTCTCATCTGTGAATCTGCGGTTGTTTGGTTTCGTCAGGAAGAGGCTCTGCGGTGAGTTTTGCCCTCACGCTACGTCAGTTATCGTGTGAGGCTCCCGGGCAGCGAAGAGAGACTCCTCAGACAAACTCCTGCAGCGATTCATTTAGAAGCTTTTCACTTCATTATAACCTCAGCGATAACTCTGCATGTTAAACCAAGTTAAAGCACAGAGAGGACGTGTTGTAATAAATGTTCAGAGACAGACACAGGAAGGGAAGTGAGAACGTGAAGAAATGCTGCGTGTCAGATAATCAGTGAGAGTAGAAGTACTAAAATCCTTATAATAACAGGAAATAACAAAAAGTATTATTAGTAAAATACGTCACATTATTATTCTGTATATTATTAGATTGTTATTAATGATACGATCACGGGAAAGCAGCCCTTTAATCTCACATTTTATTTACTTTCCGTGCTCATCTGATCTTTGTTTACACAGCACTTAGAACCTGTACGGAAATCAGCATTTATTTAAAGTGGAAAACAAAAGACATCTGCATGGAACACGTGGCAAAAGGTTCTGAAACTCAAGAATTAATCTCGTTAAATGTTTTTAAATCCAAAATGAAAGACGTTAGTTTGAAACATTAGTATGTAAATGTTTTTAAATTGTGAAACGGACTCAAAATGAGTCTCCTGACATGTGTTTTCTGTCTGTCCCCGTGTCTCACTGGGACTCTGCTGGTATAAATATATATAGATAGAGGTTATGATAATAAAACACTGCACAGATCCACAGAGGTCAGACCAGCAGCAGATAAAATGTTTCTCCAGAACAGAGCATCACAAACATCAGGATCATCTGATCTTACCTGCCAGCAGGAACACGAAGCCCCAGAGAACCTTTTTGTCCCAAACTGCCATCATTAGGAAGCCTGCTGATGCTCTGACTTGCTCTGAAAGTGAGCTGAGTGACTCCCTGATTGTGAAAAGTCATTTTCTGACTTCCTTCCTTCTTCTTTTTCTTCTTCTGTGAAACCTTATCTTGCAAAATTACAACCTCGCTTTTTACTTCCCCAATAACACCCGTCCACGTGTCCCACGCCAGCACCGCTGTTGTCATGTTCTGACAGAGCGTTCCCTCAAGGCGGCGAGTTAAAACCCAGCGAGACAGACGAAGCATCAGGCTCAGAGACAATCAGTTTCTGTCTAACTGACATTCAGATTCATCCTTCCGCTTTAAAACTGAAGACTCCCGATTCTGACTTTCCCTCAGAGAGGTGTCATTTACACCGGGGACGCTGCGGACATGTCCCCGCCACCTTTTCAAATAACTGATTTTGTCCCCACTTGTACTTTGTACCACTTTTTAAAGCATAATTTGTTAAAAGCCTTTAAAAAGGTTTATTTGCACATTAAGAAAACAGTCAATGAAATTAAAATATAGAAAGAAAGAAACAAACGTGCAGCAGCAGTCAGTAACTTTAACAACTTGTTGACAGTTTTAGACCAGGTTTCCGTTCTCTCGCTGTGAACATGACAACAGAGGAGGGAAGACTAAGTCATGACTCAGCAGGGACGATGTTAACAGGAGAAACAGATCTGAGAGCTGCACTCACTTAGATTCTGTTAGATATATTTATAGATCCTGTGTTTCCGTTTATACAAATAAAAACATTTCCACCATAAATTGGTGCAGAAACTTTCAGCAGAATGCAGGAGATGAAGTGTTGTGTGTCCCGCAGAGCTCATCTATCTCTGCATCGAGGACGTCTTTAAAACACTGTTTCAGGATCTGTTTGTCTCCTTCTCATGAACATGATATCGCGTATCGTGACGCCTCTAAGTGTCTCTTCACACCTCTGATCTGAGCCCCTGTGTCTCCACCTGGTGCCCTCAGACCTTCCCACCTGTCCTACTCACCTGACCCACCTGTGTCTCATCCTCCAATCAGCTTATCAGTATTTAACCCCCCCCCCCCCCACCAGTTCCCTCTGAGACTTAGAAACATTGAAACCCATTTTTAGTTAGTGTTTTGGATTTTCCTTTATTTCTGTTGAATCACTTCTGGTTAGTTGATTTTGATGGATCAATGGATTTCTCGTACAGGTAAACAGTCCCGCTGATGAAGCGCTCCTCCTGCAGCTGCTTCCTGTCTCTCTCAGGGTTCAGGTGTGGGTTCTCCATGTATCTGTCTGTCTGTTTGAGTCCTACCAGACTCCACAGTCCCTCCTCCTGCATCAGCTGCAGCTCTCTCTCCAGGTCCTGCTTGTACCGCTGTGCTGGTCCTCCTGTGTGGTCGCCTCTCGCCATGCAGACCAACCCTCCTGCAGAAAGCACACGGAGCTGTGGTCAGATCCTGGACACAGAGGTCTGAAGGTGACTCAATGAAGACTCTGAAGTATTCAACTTTAAAAAACTCTAACTGTGCTTTCAGACCAAACGTGAATTTTCTCCTCGCGATGTTTTCCTCGCGTGAGTACATTCGCTGCAAGTGTTCACGCGAGAAGGCGATTTTAACGCGATAACGTGAATAAACACAACTCGCCATTACTCCAGCTGTATGAACCCAAAGTAAACATGTTGCTGTGATTAAGTAGCAACAAACGGATCAAACTGATGCTGAAATAACAACAACATGATGCAGATTTGTTAAACATATGAATTGATGCTTTGTCAGGTCTGTCAGCAAGACAGCAGCTTCTAAAATGTTTGTTTTCTGAATGGAGTTTGGTTCGATCAGGGCTATGCTATGCTAACCTGTTCACAGTAAAGTACAACGACAGCTGGAATAAAGTTACAGTCACATGTTTTCTGAACTCACCAGGTAGTTCAACCTCCTCGCTTTCTTTTCTCCACGTAATGTCCAGTTTTGTCTGGTTTTTATATAAATATGAAGTCGTAGTCTGACTAGCTAACGACGCTAACAACAACAACACTGGAGCCGGATGTGCACAGAATCTAGCTGTTGAGAAGCTCCAGTGAAGATAAATCAATGTTGTAATCCTAAAAACTAAAGTAAAAAGCTAATTTAATAAAAGCAGTTTACTCCAAGTTCCTCCCTCGAGCAAACGGCGTAGTTGCGAGCAAAGTCCAGTCCTACCACGGGTGTTTATTTTTCCGAAAGCTGCAGCGCTGCTCCCTGCTCCTCTAGCCCAAGTTTAGCAGCTCTCAGCCGGCCTGCAGATTTTCAATCTCCCGCTCTGCCCGGTCCTCTCCACACAACGCTCTGAAGCCTCAGTGACGTACAAACAATCTCAACGTTGATAGGCTACAGACTCTGAGAGCTCCATTTCACCTACATATCTACAGTGAAGGTGCTGCTCTTTGCAACATCGTCACCATCTGCTGGTTGGCTGACTGAGCTGCACCAACAAGACTCCCCTCTGTCTCCATGATATTTATATTTTACTAATTTAAAGAGGTGGTGTTCTGCTCATGTTCAGGTTCCTCATCTTATTTAGAGTTTGTACCAGAGCAGGTTTCCATGGTTATATTTTTGTCATACTGCACATTGCTGCAGCTCCTCTTTTCACCCTGTGTTGAAGGCTTCGTTTTAGCTATGGAGTGATACATCTTGTCTCTAAATGATCTTTGTTGGGAGCTGCACATGCTCAGTTCCAAGTTAAGGACTACTAGCCAATCAGAAGCAGAGAAGGGCGGGTCGGCGAGAAGCCGGTAAACAGCTCGGGTTCAGCTGTACGTGTTGCCGACCAGCTTGGCAACATGGACTGGAGCGAGAGTTTCAGAGCGGTGAGTTATTAATCTGTAACAAGTATCTTTCATCCATAAAGTTTTAACTTTCATCCCTGTGACGTCACAGGGATGAAAGGGAAGTGGCTGGACTACAAACGAGCTGTTTTCAGAGCAGAGTTTTCCAGGTAATGACCATAACGATGTTCCCATGGCGACTGCAGCTACCTGCAAAATGTGAATCAGGTGCAGAGTCACATTAATGGCTGTTAGCTGGCTACCTGGTTTGGCGGCGCGGCAGAGCTCCCTGACGACACTGACCGGTACGAAACCAGCATCCAGAGCACCGACGATGATCACCACATCAAACACACCTGAAACCAGGAGAAGAGGAGGGAGAAGGATCAGTTTCCAGAACTTTAAACCGTCAGAGATTCACTTTTACTGTCTGCTGCTTCTTTGTCCTGGAATCATTTTCCTCTCATCACACCTGAGAAGGTGTGTTGTCACAGGTAGAAGGAAGACTCAAACTATACGACCACGAAGCATCAGATGAACAGCAGCCGCCGCCAGCAGCTGATCGTCGTCGTCAAACAGGCTGCAGCTCAATGACTCGCTCCATCGTCGAGATTAGCTGCAGTACATATTTACAGCCACTAACTGCCAGACACTGACACTGACAGAGGTGCTGACCTGGAACGTGATAAAAGCTGTTTAATAAATTCTTAAACTCAAAGTATGAGACGTTTTGCTGATAACATTTGACTGAATGAGTAAATAACGTTAGTTAGCTTAGCATGATCAGATATTCCCGCTTATTAAAAGCTATAGGAATATTTCTGTGTGCACGCCTTCAAAACCGTCGCAGTTTTGTTAGGTTTAGGAAAATTATCTTAATTTGGGTTAAAATAAGTTAATCCAGGAGGTTCTGTCGGGAGTGAGTCAGCTCGTCCTCAGCAGAGAAACGTTCGTTAAGGTCCGTCATGCAGCAGCTTACTGCGACCCATGTTTTCTGTTAGGCTGCCACGTCTAGGGGCAGAAGAAGTCAGGTGACAACGACCATGTTGGTGTGTCGTGTAGTGTTAGATAATATTTGATTGTTTCCTTCGTCACTAAAGTTTTTACTCACTGAGATGTTGCCTGAGTCTAAACGATGAGACCTGATTCAGTGAATCAAGAGTTAGAAGCGAGTTCGTTGAGACTGAGAGGACTCAGGAGGACTGAAGGACTCAGGAAGTCCTGCTCTGTAATTAGAACCCTTTCACTCTCATTCCTCAAATCTTATGAGGAACAGAAGCTTTCTGCAGGAATGAAGGTGAATTAGAACAGAACCATCATACTGAACGATCAGCGCTGAGTGTGCAGAGTGAGTGTGCAGAGTGAGTGCTTCAGTGTGAGTGTGCAGAGCGAGTGCTTCAGAGTGAGTGTGCAGAGCGAGTGCTTCAGTGTGAGTGCTTCAGAGTGAGTGCTTCAGTGTGAGTGTGCAGAGCGAGTGCTTCAGACTGAGTGCGCAGAATGAGTGCTTCAGAGTGAGTGCTTCAGTGTGAGTGTGCAGAGCGAGTGCTTCAGTGTGAGTGCTTCAGAGTGAGTGTGCAGAGTGAGTGCTTCAGTGTGAGTGTGCAGAGCGAGTGTGCAGAGCGAGTGCTTCAGTGTGAGTGCTTCAGAGTGAGTGCTTCAGAGTGAGTGCTTAAGTGTGAGTGCTTCAGAGTGAGTGCTTCAGAGTGAGTGCTTAAGTGTGAGTGCTTAAGTGTGAGTGCTTCAGAGTGAGTGCTTCATAGTGAGTGCTTCAGAGTGAGTGTGCAGAGCGAGTGCTTCAGTGTGAGTGCTTCAGAGTGAGTGCTTAAGTGTGAGTGCTTCAGAGTGAGTGCTTCATAGTGAGTGCTTCAGAGTGAGTGTGCAGAGCGAGTGCTTCAGTGTGAGTGTGCAGAGCGAGTGTGCAGAGCGAGTGCTTCAGTGTGAGTGTGCAGAGCGAGTGCTTCAGAACGAGTGCTTCAGAGCGAGTGCTTCAGACTGAGTGTGCAGAGCGAGTGCTTCAGACTGAGTGTGCAGAGCGAGTGTGCAGAGCGAGTGCTTCAGTGTGAGTGTGCAGAGCGAGTGCTTCAGAGTGAGTGTGCAGAGCGAGTGTGCAGAGCGAGTGCTTCAGAGTGAGTGTGCAGAGCAAGTGCTTCAGTGTGAGTGCTTCAGAGTGAGTGCTTCAGTGTGAGTGCTTCAGAGTGAGTGCTTCAGTGAGAGTGCTTCAGAGTGAGTGTGCAGAGCGAGTGCTTCAGTGTGAGTGTGCAGAGCGAGTGCTTCAGTGTGAGTGTGCAGAGCGAGTGCTTCAGTGTGAGTGTGCAGAGCGAGTGCTTCAGTGTGAGTGCTTCAGAGTGAGTGCTTCAGTGTGAGTGTGCAGAGCGAGTGCTTCAGACTGAGTGTGCAGAATGAGTGCTTCAGAGTGAGTGCTTCAGTGTGAGTGTGCAGAGTGAGTGCTTCAGAGTGAGTGCTTCAGTGTGAGTGTGCAGAGCGAGTGCTTCAGAGTGAGTGCTTCAGTGTGAGTGTGCAGAGCGAGTGCTTCAGAGTGAGTGTGCAGAGCAAATGCTTCAGTGTGAGTGCTTCAGAGTGAGTGTGCAGAGCGAGTGCTTCAGAGTGAGTGTGCAGAGTGAGTGTGCAGAGCAAGTGCTTCAGTGTGAGTGCTTCAGAGCGAGTGCTTCAGAGAGAGTGCTTCAGAGTGAGTGCTTCAGAGCGAGTGCTTCAGAGCGAGTGCTTCAGTGTGAGTGTGCAGAGCGAGTGTGCAGAGCGAGTGCTTCAGAGTGAGTTCTTCAGAGTGAGTGTGCAGAGCGAGTGCTTCAGAGCGAGTGCTTCAGTGTGAGTGTGCAGAGCGAGTGTGCAGAGCGAGTGCTTCAGAGTGAGTTCTTCAGAGTGAGTGTGCAGAGCGAGTGCTTCAGTGTGAGTGTGCAGAGCGAGTGCTTCAGTGTGAGTGTGCAGAGCGAGTGCTTCAGAGCGAGTGCTTCAGAGTGAGTTCTTCAGAGTGAGTGTGCAGAGCGAGTGTGCAGAGCGAGTGCTTCAGAGTGAGTGTGCAGAGTGAGTGTGCAGAGCGAGTGTGCAGAGCGAGTGCTTCAGATGTGAGTGTGCAGAGCGAGTGCTTCAGAGTGAGTGTGCAGAGCGAGTGTGCAGAGCGAGTTCTTCAGATTGAGTGTGCAGAGCGAGTGCTTCAGTGTGAGTGTGCAGAGCGAGTGTGCAGAGCGAGTGCTTCAGTGTGAGTGTGCAGAGCGAGTGTGCAGAGCGAGTGCTTCAGTGTGAGTGTGCAGAGCGAGTTCTTCAGACTGAGTGTGCAGAGCGAGTGCTTCAGAGTGAGTGTGCAGAGCGAGTTCTTCAGACTGAGTGTGCAGAGCGAGTGCTTCAGTGTGAGTGTGCAGAGCGAGTGCTTCAGAGTGAGTGCTTTAGTGTGAGTGCTTCAGTGTGAGTGCTTCAGTGTGAGTGTGCAGAGCGAGTGCTTCAGAGTGAGTGCTTTAGTGTGAGTGCTTTAGTGTGAGTGCTTCAGAGTGAGTGCATCAGAGTGAGTGCTTTAGTGTGAGTGCTTCAGAGTGAGTGCTTTAGTGTGAGTGCTTCAGTGTGAGTGCTTCAGTGTGAGTGTGCAGAGCGAGTGCTTCAGAGTGAGTGCTTTAGTGTGAGTGCTTTAGTGTGAGTGCTTCAGAGTGAGTGCATCAGAGTGAGTGCTTTAGTGTGAGTGCTTCAGTGTGAGTGCTTCAGTGTGAGTGTGCAGTGTGAGTGTGGTGTACCGGTCTGTGCAGGCAGCGGCTGTGGTCCCAGTAAGGCCAGTCTGAGGTCCTGATAGAGGCCAGTCTTAGCAGCTAGTTCCAGCATGCCGTTGCTGCCGTCCACGCCGACAAAGTGCCTGAAGCCCAGTTCAACCATCTGAGCACTCAAAGGAGATGACGACCAACATCAGCGCTGACCTTTGACCTCTGCAGACTTTTTATTTATCAGCGCCGTCTGCAGCTGAACATCTCCACGTTTACGTGAAAGCCACTGAAGATGTTCAGAGGACGAGCGATAGTGATTCTGGTGAATGCTCACAGTTTGATCTGTCTGAGACTTTAACAACAACAACACTGCAGCCTCCACAGGACACGATACATACAATCTGATCTCAAGCAGACTAAATATCATTTATGACACATTCCTTTCTGCATTTGTCTCCTCTTCAACTCTTAGCAACATGACAATCGGCCTTTAATTTTGAACTTGAATACTGACGGGACAAAATGGCTTTTATTTTGAAGGACCCTTACTTCCTGCCCTCCACACTCTGAATGGTACTGCAAACTGAAATTGTCCAACCTTATAAATACCCGTTAGACAGCAGTCTGACTTTGACACAGCGAGAGGAGAAACTGACACAGAAACTAAAGATATAGTTTCTAATAAAGCACGTTTGTGTGTTCAGGAAAATGATTGGACAGTCGGCCATCATGTCTGCGCCCCACTATTCGAGCTCCGTCTCATCTCAGGGTGTCAAATACCGACGCTTTGTCAGGTTTCAGGGTCCGTATGAGAATCCCTGGGCTTCCAAGTGACTCCGATGTAACCCGCCCACCGTTACATGCTGTACTTATTAAACCTCAAACCCGATCGTTTTGGTGACAAAATCAGGATCTTTCCTAAACCTAAAGGCGTCTCTGTCCGGGTTGGCCAAGTGCCGAGGCAGGAAACAGAGATGTGTATACAAATGCTCGCCACAGGAAGCACAGGTGCAGTTTATGATGTTTAAATTGCGAAGCAGAAGTCCACACAAAGGCAAGGAATCCAACACAGGGTAGAATGATCTAGAAAGGTGCAAACATGGAGACAAGCAGGGGAACACTTGACAAACGATGAGAACTGAGCTCTTTAAATAGGAGGGAAGGAGTGGACAGGTGAGACACGTCAGGTAATCGGGACACCGGGGAGCTAAACTAGACAGGAACAGCAGAGACAGGAAGTGAAGCATGAGACAATGCACAAGGACGAAGGGGCAGGGAAGGAAGAAATATGACCGTCTCATTCAGACGCTGAAAAACTCAGACGCGTTGAGAAAGACTGAAAAAGCGTGTTCGATGCCCTGAGATGAGAACTTGGTGTTATGCTGTTTTACTGCAGGAGTTGAATATGGCCGGCTGGTCCTCACCAGCAACAACAAGAATAACGCCTGAAGTCCACTGACTTGGACTTCAGCTAATCACAGCCATTCTAGTTGCTGCAGCCTGAAGTTGACGGAACAAAACGGGGTCACATAGAGCCGTGAAGAAGGTAGCAGAAGCACATAAAGGACAAATTAATAACGCTTCTGAGACGCTTCTGAGTCGACTTTGACGCCGGGCTGAGGACGCATCGAAACCGTGGCGCTGCCGTAACGCGCCGTAGCCGGAGTCAGAGGACTTCTTTCTGTAATCTTTATTTCGAAAGGTCTCCCGCAGAAGCTGCCTCAGTAAATCACTTCTCTACTCTTAATAATAAAACCACGGCTCAGAGCAGATCTCAGGTCTGTTGAACTCTAGTTAAGACTTCAGATTGTAGCTTTAATTTGCTTAAATCACTGAACTCATCCTGCCTACACACAGAGACGGGCGATAAATCTGAATGAATTCAACTTCGGTGCTCACGGTTTCTATAAAATGAACTAAACAACTAAAATGCGGGAAATAGAGCAGATCTATCGCTGTGTAGCAGGGCCACAGTGTTTAAGTTTAAACATATGTATTTGCACGTGGGTGCGACCCGGTGGGCTTTAAGAGGTTTTATACATCCAGAGAACTTCAATAAAAAACCAGCCCAGGCTTCTAATTGAGACCGTGTCAGAACATGCAGCCACACCAAGCCACTAAGAGGTACAGGCTTCTAATTGAGACTGGGCTTTTAACTGAAGTTTTACGGTATTTAACTACAGAAGCTGACAGATGAAGAAAAAACAGAGCTGCTTTGGATTGTCCTTTAGATGTTCTGTACTTCCACAATGAAGCGTGGCTAAAAAGAAATGTGAAAACAGGCTCTAGAAACTGGAGTTTAATAACGTTAACGGTCTCACCACTTTAGCGACCCATCCAGACCCGCAGGCGACATCCAGGACCAGAGCTTCTCCAGGACTCCCAGAGAAGTTTTCAGACAGGGCGTCTACGGCCAGGTACGGGGCTCTGTAGCTCATCAGGGAGTGATCCTGTTTTAAAAGACGTGTCAGATTCAAACCTGATTCTGAATCTTCAGCTGGAGTTTTCTCAGGATGAGACCGACTGCAGCAGGCCTGAAGCTCTGTGCCGACATCAATCAAAGCTCTGCTGATGTAAGTTTGTTTTGGGGAAGTTTGGCCTTCTGGGCGTCATAAATAGCTTAATTTGATTTTTGGTCGTCTGAGAGAGAAAAACCCCTAGCAACCAGCGCCAACTTCCACATCCAGCAAAGCAAATCTAAAACACCAAAGTTAAATATTTCTCTTGAAAACGATGGGTGATGATGGAAAAACTCACCTAATCTCTTAGCTGAAGCTAATTCGCTTTGTTTAACTGACGAAAACTACAACACCTACAACATTGCCAAACACATTTCCACCATCTTAGCTCCATTGGTGGGAAACACGCCTCACCACGTCCAAAACTCTATTGACTTTGTAAACAAAGTTCGAGGACTAAAACTGGATCCAGATGAAACCATGGTATCCTATGACGTGACTTCTTTGTTCACCTGCATCCCCACCATAGAGGCAGTAGAAACCGGAAACGGCTAACACAAGACAACACCCTGGACAACAGAACTAGACTCAGCCCTGAATCTGCAAATTACTCGACCTCTGTCTAAACACCACCTACTTCCAGTACAACGGTGGATTCTACAGACAGAAGCATGGCTGTGCCATGGGCTCACCGGTATCCCCGATTGTGGCCAACATCTACATGGAAGAAGTGGAGAATAAAGCCCTCAACTCCTTCAGAGGTATAGCACCGAGCCACTGGTACAGATATGTGGACGACACCTGGGTCAAAATTAAAAGCCAGGAAGTGCAAGCCTTCACAGAACACATCAACTCTGTGGACAGTAACATCAGGTTCACACGAGAAGATGTTCACAACAACAGTTTGGCCTTCCTGGACTGCACTGTACACATTGAAGAGGACAGGAGCCTGCAGATTGGTGTTTACAGAAAACCCACACACACAGACCAATACCTACTGTTCGATTCCCACCACCCACTGGAGCACAAGCTAGGGGTCATGAGAACACTGCACCACAGAGCGGAAAACATACCAACAAGCGCCCAAGCCAGAGAGAAGGAACAGAAGCACCTGAAGGGGGCACTTACAGCCTGTGGATACCCTAAATGGACCTTTGTGAAAACAGCCACAAGATCCAAGAAGAACAAAACTACAGGGGAGGAAAAGAAGGTCAAACGCAACAACATTGTGATTCCATACGTGTCTGGAGTATCAGAGAAACTCAGGAGGATTTTTAACAAACACAACATCCCTGTGTTTTTTAAACCCAAGAACACACTAAGACAGATGCTGGTCCACCCCAAAGACCGCACACCCAAACACAAGAAAAGCAATCTAGTGTATGCGGTCCAATGCAGTGAGGAATGCACAGACCTGTATATTGGGGAGACTAAACAACCACGACACAAACGCATGGCTCAACACAGAAGGGCCAACTCCTCAGGTCAAGACTCTGCTGTCTACTTACATCTGAAGGACAGAGGACACTCGTTTGAGGACCACCAGGTGCACATTTTAGACAGAGAAGATGGATGGTTTGAAAGAGGTGTCAAGGAAGCATCTACACCAGGGTGGAGAAGCCGTCATTGAACAGGGGAGGGGGTCTACGCCACCACTTATCCCCCACTTACAATGCTGTCCTTTCATCACTTCCCAGGAAACTCAACAAACGTAACCTATTGGCCTCAGGTGAAGATACCAACGATGGTCGTTCAGTCTTGGCCACCGGTAGTCTTAACGACTGTAACGACTGTCGTCACAGCAACAAGGAACACTAACGAACCAGCGGTATCGATGACCCGGGCCAACGACCCCACTGAGGTTAAATAGCTGAGTTTCCCTGCCAGTCAGTCAGAACTGAAGAAGTCCTTTGGATGAGGGACGAAACGTCTTCCAGTAGCTTCAACCAAGTCCAGTTGCCCTTGATTTTAATCTTCGTTGGAGAACTATGACCTGGATGAGAATCTTCATAGACATCAAATCTTTCTATTGTTTTTTTCTATTGTGCATTTTGTAGCTCTGCTTTGGGGACAGAGACATGCTAAACTTTATGCATGTATCAGTTGATCAGATAGATATTATTAAATGCTTGAACATGTGTCTGTTTGTTGCTTTCATTGTTTCTTGGCTAACATTAGCATGTGTCCCGTGATGTGTAGCAGTGTACATTGTCTCTATAAAAAACAAAATGGGGGGGTCACGTAAAACTTTCTGGTGGACGGCTGCTTCGAGCTCCTGACCTCAGTGTGTGATGTTCGCTTTACTTTATTTAACCTGCAGGCCACCTATCGGCCGCTCTGTCTGTCACAGGTAAACAAGGAGGTTGGACACAGATGCTGACGCAGACCAGCAGGATGCAGTTCTTGTAATTTATTAAACAAAGGAACAACATAGATTCATGGCAGGCAAAAGTTCAAACAAAGTCCATGCTCAGAAACAAGCAGGGAAACCAAAAAGTAGTGAGCAGATGAAACACAGGAGCACACAAGCAGGGAGGAAGTGAACAGGGGAAACACATCAGGTAATCAGGGAAGACAAAGACGGCAAATAAAGTTCAAACACAGAGACGGAAGATGTCAAAGTAGAGCAGGAAGTAAAGCATGAAACGATACGAGGTGTCACGGATTGGGGCGCTGAGTGCAGACTGGGGCGAGGACCCAAATGCAGACAATGGCAAGGCGAGGAGGTTGCAGTCCAAAAATGTTTATAACTCAAAAAACTAACTTAAACAGGCTTACAAGGAGCCCGAGGCAAAGTCCAACAAAGGTAGTCCAGAACACAAGGTGATCCAAAACACAGGGAATAATCCAGAACTAGGAAGACAAGGAACAGGCAGGAACACTCAACTTTAGACGCAAGGACGTGACAAAGACTGGAGAGACAAGCAGGCATACATGTACACAGGGACTAACGAGCGGGGCGGGAGCAACACAGGTGAGCGGGATCAGGACTAACGAGACAGAGAGACAGCAGGGGGAAACAGAGAGAACACTAGACAAGCAGACATGGGGCAGAGTGAATAACCAAGAAGACAGAAACACACACAAGTTACAAAGAACCAGAACCTAAATGAGAACACAGAACTAGAACACAGAGTACAGAGGAGACCAAATCACAAAACAAGGACCAGGAATGTTTACCAAAACATGAACTAAGGACATGGAACTAAACTCAGACTCCCAAACAAGACACACAGACAGGATCATGATACGAGGATGGATTTAACAGGGAGAAAAGACAGAAGAGCCATCACTTTACAGTGTAATGTCTGTATTATAGCAAACTTGTACACTGTATTTATCATCAGGATTTGAAGAGTTATATCTGTTTTACTGCTCTTTTATATTTGTATTGTTCACTGTAATCTTGTTGTTTTTGTTTAGGTAGACAATTTTAAGATCTGTCCAGGGACAACGGATGAAAAATAGCCTTTTGGCTAATGCTGGTGCATTTGCAGCAATGTTAATTAATGAACACTGTCCCTGTCAAATAAACTAATAAATAAAATAAAACCTATACACAGAAAGAAAACAGAATCAGGAAACAACAAGCAAGAAATAACAAAACTGAAAAGCATGATTACTGCCGCTTTAAGTCCCCATTAAACCTGATCAGAGACCGGGTTCTGACCTTTTCGTAGTTTTCTGTCCAGGTGTCGTAGAACTGAACACGATGTTCTGGATCAGGACTTTTACAGGACTGAAATGCGACCCTCGCATCGTCCGCAGTTCTGCAGGAGTCGGCCATGATGAGGCTTCGGACCTGCTAGAGGAAGGATGCAGAGAGACCATCAACCTTAACTCAGGAGGCACTGAAACAGTGAACACGAAGCTGCAGAGGAGAAGATGCTCTCACAAAGATCTGTGAGATTTTCAGCTTTCTGGTCTGACATGATTTTTTTTATCTAATAAATAGTCAGTTTATAATAAAAATAATAAATCAAAGCTGCAAGCAGCGCTGGGCGGGCGTTGGTGCGGCTCTGACTGTATCCCCTATGTGGCGCTAGAGAGCACCTGCTCATAACACGTTATGTCCCAGCATGAAAATTTCACGTAAATCAAATAACTGTAGATATGTTCAGGGCGGGACTGTTAACAAGCATGAAAAGTTTGGTACAGATTCGAGCATGTGCAGTGAAGTTACAACAACTACCTGCTTCAGGGCGAATCATTGATTTTCAACGCCACGCCACGGACACACCCTTTGAGGAAATCGCACAGATAGCACAACTTTTCATCATCAATGTCTTCAGAGCGCACAGCAAAAATTTTTACCTGATCAGATTAACTCTTTAGGAGGAGATTGTTAAAGTACGTAACCTGTAAATCGGTAAAAATGACCATTACGTCTGATATGGCCGACTTCCTGTTGGGCTTAGTACGTAGCTCCAGGAGGCTTTTTGGTGCATCTTGGCATGAAACATGTGCCACAAAGGTTTTGTGCATTTCGGAGAAACGTGCATTTTAGGGGTTGCTAGCGAGCCAGTTTGCCACGCCCACGCACAAAAGCGTGTGACGTGTAAATTTCCATGGGACTTGAATTTTGTGCAAAATTTTGTGAGTTTTCAAGCATGTTTGAAAGAAGAAGACAAAGAATTCCTTCAGTTTCATTAGGGTCCTTGCATGGTTGATGCTCGGGCCCTAATAATCACGTAGGGATCAGGAGGGTGTCGTGCCTGCCAGTGTATCTTACCAGTAGGAGGCGCTAACATTGGAATGAACAGCTGCAAGGATCCTGATTACGACCACATCACACCCATTCTCCATTCACTCCACTGGCTTCCCCTCTCAGCTAGGACTGAATACAAGGTCTCCCTCCTCACCCACCAGTGCATCTATGGAAATGCCCCCCCCCCCCCCAAACTGAAAGAACTACTCCCCCTTCTAACTACAACACGATCCCTCCACTCAACAAACTCAAACCACCTCCTTCCCCCCAGGACTAAGCTCAGCACCATGGGTGATCAGGCTTTCTGTTCTGCCTCTCCTTGGATCTGGACCCCCCGACCATCTGAAGGCCCCGCAGACTACTAAAAACATTTCTTTTTAGCAGAACATATGAGTTTTAATCAACCCTGCGACCTATTTGTATTTTATATTGATGCTTTTATGATCTTAACTGTAGCACTTTGAGATTTGTTTCAAATGTGAAGTGCATTACAAATAAAGTGTATTCTCATTATTCAGTTCTTAATGTTTCTGTATCATCTGAGTGTCTGGGACTTGCTGTAAATGCAGCCAAATAAAACCTGTAAACCGGCTGTTCAACACACGTTGTTCAAATCTGGAAGGTTTTCTCTGCCGCAGGAGGATTTTAAATACACATCAGATATAATAAAGAAAAACGTTACTGCAATACGAGTTGTTTTGAATGACGTTCTTTTACTTTGATATTTTTTTGGGAAATTAAATAATTTGGGAAAAGTAAATAATTGATATTTTTACTGAGGACGTTTTGAACGCAGTACTTTTACTTGTAGTGAAGTATTTTCAGAAGAAGACTCAAACATCAGAGATAAGAAAAGAGAACCCAGTGCATTACTTGATAAACGGTATATAAATATATAATTGATATCTTTACCTTATTTTCTGGAGGTGTCGGAGCTCAGCGAAGAAGACTGTGTGGAATTTAAAGACTCCTCAGGCGAGTACGAAGTCGTCTGGTTGACGCCGTCAGAGGAAAACTGTCCAATGACGTTGTGTAACGTACTTACTGTTTAGAGTACTGTTAGCTTGGTGGAATGTAAGGAAGTACAGTGCAGAGTGGTGGTGGGGGGGTTATGACAGTAATCCAGAAACAGCAGATCATTTATGTACACAAAGTATTTTTACTCTGTGTTCATAAACCCACAGCTATGCATGGAGGGGATTGAATTTTAACCACGTGGACCTATTTCCAGGAAAAATGCCTAAAATAACAAACCCAAAATAAATCAGTAATATCTCCTCAACCATTTGGCCTAGATGCATAACTCTGGTCTCCTTTGAAAGGTCAGAAGCTGAGGAACATAAATCCAATGGACATTAACATATTTATTTTACCATTACAGATGACATGGAGATGCAATAGAGAAAAAATATGATATCAAAACCATCCTAAGGTAGATTATAATGCACCTGAATATCTTCTAATACACCTAGAATACAACTGTAACTGTAAATCTGATGAAAAGAAACTAATCTACAACAGTTATTACACAATCTTTCAAAAATATACCAGGTGAATGTCCATGTTTTGGCCATATTTACTGTTTATATGTTCACTTTTATTGGGAATTTTCTTCAAAACATTATTTCTCTCCACACAACCACGTTCCAAATAACATAAAGCTTCCAAAACATTGAAATATTGATACAAACAGTCAATATAAATGACCAAAAGCACTCCCACACTGTCCAGGCCCACAGCTTGAGACCAGAACATCCTGCAGGGCTGTGGTGGGCTCAGTTTGTAGCTCCTACGGGTCGCCAGCAGAGGCCGATAAAGATCGCCTCCGCCACATCACACTCTTCTTCTCCACTTCAATCTGATGACAGAAATGAAACTTAACGCTGCGTTCCATTTACCTTGGAAGTCGGAGCTGGGAACGCCGTCACACGTCACACAGTTGATGGCGTTCCAGTTAACAAGTCGGAAAACCTCGCTCGGCCAGCTGTTTGTTTACAACTAGCCAGGTTAGCTGTTGATACGACAGCACTTTGTGTACGAACATTTATGAGTCACAAGTACACAGAAGTGCTAATAAACAGTATAAACTACAGCTTTCACTAACTGTTGATGCCCCGACAGCCATCTTGGATCACAAAGTCGGGGTTCCGACTTAAGGGGGCGTTCCCTTTGATATTTTGACCTTTGAACTCAGAAATTCTGACTTCCCATGTCAACTGGAACGCACCATAAGACCGCAGCCGATCTAAACAAGATGGCGGCCCGCCAGACTGTCTCTGTTGACACAAAGCACCGCTGTTTTTGGACGAAAAACAGCTAGAACAGTGAAAATCGGTTACGTCCCCGGTACCGGTTCAGCCCGTTCCCATGTTTAAGAGACGCACAGAACAGAAACAGTACGTGGAGGATGGGAAAAATAACATTTTGTCTTTTCAGACAAGACACTCACAGGAAGTCGGAGGAACATCCTGTCAGATCCACCTGTAGGTTCCCTGTACTTTGCAGAACATGTTCAGGTAGTAGTAGTTCGTGTTCTGGATCGCTGCTGCAGTTGTTCAATAAACAAGAAACAAGCCAACATTGATCAAAACTGGACCATTTTCTTTAGCAGTCGCTGTCACGTCATGCAGCCAGAGAGTGACTTTTAATATTGAATCTCACAAATGTACCAGTTAGAATAACAAATGCTGCACCTGCGACACTTTTAAGGTTTAAAGTTTTGAAGTGATACAAAGAAAATTTTCCCCAAACAGTAAATCTGATGGTCTAAGTTTGTGTATCATTACTTTGTATTTGTTGAACGAGGCCACAGGTGAAAGACTGGGCGGAGTTTGGTTGACTCAGTGTCACCGCGTCTCGTTAAACCTCTTCAGCAAGAGAAATACACTGAAATGAGCAAAATGTCACATGGCGTCGGTGCGAATGTGCCGGCGGTGGTAGCAGGGCGCTGAGGGGGCTCAGTTACAGATGATCTGAGTCCTGGAGTTTAAAAGAAAAACCAACCTGTGCATCCTGAACATATAGATCACACTCACTCTGTACACCATCGACTGCACCAGCTGCTCACCCACCACTTCCCTTAGACGCCCTGAGGACACCGCCATCCTCCTCACTGATCACCACTCTGTTCTGCTCAGAGGCGCCGCGCTGACTGGCAGCCGCCTCACTCTGACATCTCTCCGTGTTGCTGTGGGTCGTGTTTGTGCACGAGTGTATTTCAGACCTGTGTGGATACTGACATAATAACAGAGTGAAAACACTGAGTTATATTATTATTAAATAAAGTATATCTTCTTCTTCTTCTAGTAGGCCTGTCTAATCAATTGCTACTAGTAAGATGGGAATAGTTACTAGTAGCTTTCATAAAGTTTTAAACTGTAAAACAGAGCGTTTACTGCAGGTTAGGTTGGTTTATTCCTTAATGAAATATTAATAACGATGCACTTTCTTTGTATGTGACCTACACAAGAGAAAAGGTTCCAAAAAGAACCGAGCAGGTCAGAATATAAATCAGCTTCAGTCTGAGGAGAAACAAAATTAATAAAAACACAGAAGAAGAAGCTGCAGCTCAGACAAACACATCCACTTCCTGTTTAAATGTGCATGTATGTTCATTCCTGTTTATTATCTAACTCTGCGTGACGCAGCGCAGGGGGCGGGGCCTCCACTCCCGCGAGGACCAATCCGGTGAGGAGGATGATGCCGTGATGTCTCACTCTGCTCACTATCCCGGAAAGTAAAGAAGCTCGGCTGCAGTCCGACACAGTGTGAATGACCTTGTGTAAACTTAAAGTTACTGCAGCTGGAGTGAGATTTAACCAGAGGGGACAAAGCAGGAGTCACTCGCAACAATATGTAAACATTCATGATTCCAATCATAGGTGTAATTTACACCAGGGACACGTCCACGTCACTTTTTGAAAAAATTGTTAAAACAATAATCTTGCAACAAGAAATGTTCAATAACTCAGGTGAGTTTATTTTCTCAATAACAAAACATGCAATGCAAATATAGAAGAAACAGATGGACATCGTCAGCAACCTGATTCTACTTCCAATAAATCAGCTGACAAGTAGAAACATTTTCTCATAGACTTCTATACAATCACACTTCTTTCTGCAGCCGCTGGCGTCGCCCCCTGCTGGCCGCTAGAGAGGACGCAGGTTTAAGTCGCCCCTGCTGGCCGCTAGAGAGGACGCAGGTTTAAGTCGCCCCCTGCTGGCTGCTAGAGAGGACGCAGGTTTAAGTCGCCCCCTACTGGCTGCTGGAGAGGACGCAGGTTTAAGTCGCCCCCTGCTGGCTGCTAGAGAGGACGCAGGTTTAAGTCGCCCCCTGCTGGCTGCTAGAGAGGACGCAGGTTTAAGTCGCCCCCTGCTGGCCGCTGGAGAGGACGCAGGTTTAAGTCGCCCCCTGCTGGCCGCTAGAGAGGACGCAGGTTTAAGTCGCCCCCTGCTGGCTGCTAGAGAGGACGCAGGTTTAAGTCGCCCCCTGCTGGCCGCTAGAGAGGACGCAGGTTTAAGTCGCCCCCTGCTGGCTGCTAGAGAGGACGCAGGTTTAAGTCGCCCCCTGCTGGCCGCTAGAGAGGACGCAGGTTTAAGTCGCCCCCTGCTGGCCGCTGGAGAGGACGCAGGTTTAAGTCGCCCCCTGCTGGCCGCTAGAGAGGACGCAGGGTTAAGTCGCCCCCTGCTGGCTGCTAGAGAGGACGCAGGTTTAAGTCGCCCCCTGCTGGCTGCTAGAGAGGACGCAGGTTTAAGTCGCCCCCTGCTGGCCGCTGGAGAGGACGCAGGTTTAAGTCGCCCCCTGCTGGCTGCTAGAGAGGACGCAGGTTTAAGTCGCCCCCTGCTGGCTGCTAGAGAGGACGCAGGTTTAAGTCGCCCCCTGCTGGCCGCTGGAGAGGACGCAGGTTTAAGTCGCCCCCTGCTGGCCGCTGGAGAGGACGCAGGTTTAAGTCGCCCCCTGCTGGCCGCTGGAGAGGACGCAGGTTTAAGTCGCCCCCTGCTGGCTGCTGGAGAGGACGCAGGTTTAAAGTGCTTCACTTTTCAGACCTGCAGGTTCCTGCTTGTTTTATTCATGTCAGAATTGCTTTGATCAAATAACTTCAAAATGTGATGAAACAGAGGAAAGTTTTAGTTGAGTGAGACTAGAGGCAGCCAGAAGAAGTGCTGAGGGAAAAACCCTTTTAAAGACTTGAGTCTGATATTATTTAATCTAAAAGACATAGAAAGTGACTGGTTTGAAGAAATAAAATAACAATAAAGGTATTTAATTGTTCTCCTTCGCCATAATAAAGCGGCGTGGCACTGCAGAGAAACAGCAGTGAGGAGTCTGAGGTCTGTTTTCCCGCGGAGTGACTCATCTCTCAGAGACGATCTTTGTCCAGTCTCATCGCGAGCTCCTCCGCGCAGCCTCCCTGCATCCTAGCGCGAGCATCACTGCGCACCGAGCAGCGACGGAGACACCGACCCGCCGAGCGGAGGACGTGTGAGGCATTCAGCTCCCGGAGCAGCGGCTTGTTTTCGGTGATTTCTCTCCCCGTCGATTCTCTATGGATGTGAAATAAAAGCGGCGGTCAGTCGGCGTCCTCCCTCCATCTCTCTCTGCTCTTCTCTTCCCGTCAGGACCGCATCCAGCCCAGATACACAAAATGGCGGACATCATCGAGCTGGGACCCGCCTACGGTGAGAGCCAGGCCCTTTCTGCTTCACATCTCTGCTGCTGGCGTCGAAATAACTCTTTAAATATACTCCAAGTCTTATTTTATCAGGACGCTATAATGTTTTATCGTCAAGTTTAACAGGTGTTTTAGCCTAAAATGTCCCGTGTCCGCTTGATTGGTTGTCTCTAACACCCAGTTAATGAGGCGTTATCGCGCCACCGCCCGTTATTTTGTTTCATTAGCGCTGTTTTTCATTTTAATCCCATAATTTGAGATGAACTGTCATTTATCATCGTTACTGACTCCACTTTATCACGTTAAAGGTTATTATTTTACACCAGAAAAGGTTGGAATTGATGGATAAAACTGTAAAATATCGACCTCTTCATGGTTTTGTTAATAAAAAAGGGGAAAGACAGAAAGAAAAAAACGGCGTGTGACTGTTTAAAGTGGAGCTTCACCCCGACACGAGGCTGCGGTAAATGTTAACTAATAAAAATAACATCATCCCGTCAGACGCGGCAAACAGGGCGTTCTCACGCGCCTACGCACCGTCTGCCTCTCGTGTGTACGTGCGCGTGCCAGTCGGGGTGGGTACGGGTGGGTATCGGGTGACGTCATGTCTGTACCCGGCGCTGAGGACACAAAAAATCGACGTACTGTTTAATTTTTATAACTATTATTAGTGTCGTTTGTTTATTGATTATAAGGTTTGGAAAACATTTATTTACATTTACATTTTATTCATTTAGCTGACCGAAGACCAAACAATACATTGATTAATCAGTTAGTTTATGGTTATTATTATTATTATTATGATTTATCGATCCTAAACTCCAGACGTTAATAAGAGAAACTCAGGTAACGAGACGATCGCTTTAACGATAAATCGATAAATTTGCTGTTGATGAAATAGTTTCAGCTGTAATTACAAACTGAATCTGTCCCAAAATGGACGCACGCTGTCACGTGATAAAAACATAATGTTGTGTTTCAGATCTGTGACCATCAGATCAAATTAATCGCAGAAAGTTTTGGGATTTTAAGAAACCCCTCCACTCGCCAGTGTCTGTTTTCTATCTCAGCAAACTGAATCTCTTTGAGTTTTAGACATTTCATCCACTAAATAATTCACCAATAATGAAAATAATCATCAGTTCCAGCTCCATAAATAAAACACTAGAACAAGAGAGGAAGCGAGTAGACATAACCAAGAGATTATTATATTTGCAGCCTTCAGCACATTAGTCGTGGATATTTAGATTTATATTAGTATATCTACTTTTATTGTATTTTGTTCTTTCTTTTTATTGAAATTGAAATTTCCTTTTTTGTCACTGCATGAATCATACAAAGAAATTCAGGCGCACTGAAACCGGAAACGATGCTCAAACATCAAAATATAGAATAATAAAATAATAAATAGGTACATTACATTCCCTCTGTGCTGCTGTGCCAAATTAAATCTCCTCTCCAGGGGATCAATAAAAGAACATCTCATCTTATTATTCTGATAAACGGAGGAGCATTTACTCTGTAAACACTCAGGTACAGCTACAAACTAAACACGGTGGTGATTTTATCTGATGGTCTAAGTTTGTGTATCATAACTTTGTATTTGTTGAACGAGGCCACAGGTGAAAGACTGGGCGGAGTCACTCAGTGTCACCGCGTCTCGTTAAACCTCTTCAGCAAGGTTTAATGAGAATATATAAATACACTGATGTTATAAATAGGACTGCTGTCAATATTAAATGAATTGCCAGCTATTTTGCTACTTTAATCCTCTCTAAACAAGACATTTGAGGACGTCATCTTGGGCTTTGGGAAACACAGATTGACATTTGCACCATTTTCTAAACTAATTTATATAATTATAATGATAATAATAAATGTGAGGAACTGCAGTCTGTGTTTAAGATGGATTATATTAATGTTCTCCGGCACACATGCTGTAACAGGAAGCATTCAATAGGACTGCGATCAGGAACCACAGCAGCAACATAAGTCAGAGACCTGTGACGGCCCGGACAGTTTGAAAATATTAGAGCACAGTTATTGTTAATGAAAATGGGGACTTGCAGCTTAAACTGTTTTAATCTTATTCCAGCTCAGTTACTGTAAAGTTAGAGTCCAGTTAGTTCAACAACATACACAATAGATAGAATAGATTTGGGTATATAAATTCATCTGAGTACATTGATTTCAATTCATGTTTTTGTGTCTTTTGGTCGCACAAAGCAGGACGTGAGAAGACTGCACCTCAGGGTTTTGTAGGGCAAGCGATTAAATGTGAAAATAACCAACAGATCGATGTTATTATTATCATTATTATATTATTTTCAGCCTGAGGTACAATGAGAGAAAACCCCCAGCCTGCAGAGACGATGAAAATGATCAGATATCAGATAAATATGTCGATATTAACCCTTTGATGCACAACAAATTCATTTCAGTTACCTTAAAGATCAGGAAGTTCTCGCTGTTTTAGCTTCACGTTGTTAAGCCGTAATGCTTTTTTCACAGCCGCAACTCGCTCATTCATTCATGAATTTCTGAGCACCAGCGTCCGTCTGTTCCTGGGACTGAACATTAGTTCTGTTGGATCTCTGGAGATCCATCACGGCTGGAGCTCTGCCGGTGTTGTCGTATGTTGAGTGGCAGTATACCGCTATAATTATAAAAGAGATCTGAAATTAGACAGTATACGTTTCTACAGATATAGTTTGATGTTGGTTAATGTTTCCTGCCAGCGTTTGCTCCTCTCTCTCTCCCTCACCGCACCGTCGTCTACTCACAAAGTCTCTAACAAGATGGAGGGAGACTCAGTGCTGGTCGACGCTGTTAAAGACCAGGGGCCGTAATCCAGAAACTTCCTAACCGGCAGACCCTGTCCCGACTGCTTGGTAACCATGGTAATAAGGGTGAGGACGTGAGTTAGGAAAAAGGCCGTTCCTCAGCCAGGGTTCCTTTCCTGGCTGCTGAGACTCCTCACTTTACTTTTCCACCAGCTAGAGTTTAATAACTCGTTTCATCCGCATGGCTGCTCTTTGACTGCTTTCACAAAATCAACAAAATGTCAACAGGTTCTACCTGGTTGTGTTTGATGACCCAACCCTCGTTAGCAGATCAGACGCTGGGTAATGTCTCGTTATGTAACATGATGTGAAGGCTTGATGGAACAAAAGCCTCCTAATGCGGGTCTTTGATAGGAGGAGATCGTTAAATTCAAGATATAGATGAAAGCATGATGACGTCAGCCCGCAGCCTTTATTAATATTTTTCACCTTCATTATTAGCTTTCCGGGTTCCTGCCGGGGTCAGTGAGGGAGCTCTCTGGACACAACAGCTGCCGGATATGCGGCGGTGACCGTGTCCGCTATTTTAGCCGCCATGGCTGCGTTCAGACTGCAGGCCTTAATGTTCAATTCAAATGTTTTTCCCAGATCAGATTTTGTTTGTTTGACAGTTCACATGATAGTTTAAATGTGGCTGATATCAGACTCCAGTGTGAACTGTCCGCCTGTAGTGACCCGCACGCAGCAGAAGAAGAACAGGGCGTCACGCAGCAGCAGCAGCTGTTGGAGGCTGCAGACGTAAACATGGAGCAGCAGACTTAGCTCCGGTTGGACAAACAGCATGCACGTAACTCAGAAGAGCTCCGGTCCGCTGGATTTCAGGTGTAAGAAAGGGAATTTGTGAGCAGATGACGGCGAGGTAGAGGAGGAAGAGATCCACGTGTTTGATAAAGGCTAAAGAGCCGTACCATCTCTGGTACCGGTAACGGGAAAACGGAATAAGAAGCGGGAACGCTGACGTGTCTGCAGCGGAGGTACGTCAGGTCTGTAATACTGACGATGGAGAATGAAGAATAATTAAAACGGTGAAATAAGAAACAGGCTGTTACTAAAAGTAGTAAAAACATGCTGATGAATATTTCCTCCTCGTAGGAGAGAAGAGTCCAGTCCTGGGAACTGATCTGCAGTCTGCTCTGACATTCACTAACTGTGTAGAGGCTCAAATACTAACACTGCATTCTGGGTAAAACGCTCGTCCTGTCGGCGCTCTGCAGGTAGAGCTGAAGCTGTGTGAGGTCGTTAACTTCCTTTGTCTGATTTCAGATTTGATTCATCGTTGCAGTAAAAGAAAAAGTCCTCAGTTTAGTGAAATTTAAAACAGACAAACAGACGAGTCTCTAAACTGAGAATCCAACTAGTAATAAAATCTAATAATCAGCTTTAAATGTCAGGAGGGATCAATAGATTATTCTGCAGGTGCACCGATCGCTTCAGCGTCGTCATGAATTAAATTCTGTTTGGTAGAAAATTCAGGACAGTAAAATACTGTGTTCCTATTGGCTCTGAGCCAGCCAATGAAGGGTGCTTAATGTGAGGCGTGTGTGTGTGTGTGTGTGTGTGTGTGTGTGCGTGCGTGTGTGCGTTGCTAGGCAGCGAGCTCAGCTGCTTTCAGCTCCTTCCAAACATGACATCATCTGATGGGTCTGAATGAACAACAACAGGAAGCAGATCTGAGGCCTGCAGCAGCTCGCTGTGGTGATCAGAGGTCACTTTACAATCAGCTGTCAGCACCAAAATAACAACAGTTGGGTTTGGAAACTCCTCCACCGATAGTTTTGTGGAGTATAAAATGTCTGACGGTATTAAAGGGTTTCACTCGCTCTGAGGGTTTGTGCCCATTCTAAACTCTGCAGAGGAAACAGAATTCAACTTTTAGCTCAGGAAGGATCCGGAGGACGGCTGCTGCGTCACTATGAACCTGGACTGTGCGTGAGACCTTTTGGACGTGTAGAAGAACTCGGAACATGAATTAACATCAGGTCCTGACATATCCTGTCGGCGTGTCGGAGACTTTAATAATGAATGAAGTTACGCTGCTGTGCCTGGTGCGTAAATGTGCACGGCGTCTCTCTTACCATCTGAGTAACGCGCCCTTAAATAACAACAAACAGTGAAACACTTTCTGCTGCTTCAGATAGCCAACAGTTGTTCAGCTAAACTGTATCTTGATGCAGCAGAAAGCGACACCGCAGTATTTCACCGTGTTTTGTTCTGCACATGAAACGTTTTAAAACGTCTGACAGCAGCCTCTCTAATGGTTGAAGAAAATACTGCAGTAAAGCACAAAATAAAGAAACCGCTGTAGGGGAGAGATGTGACCCCCGACCGGTTCATCAGAGCTTCTAATAAGGCAGCGCAGTGAGGGTCAGACGTTTACAGAGCTGCAGAGGAACATCGGGCGTCCACACTTCTGTCTCTGCTGCGAGTCACCTGATGGTTTCATCATCATATTAGCAGTAGTAGTAAAAACGCTCCTGGCTGGTGGATCACGCATAAAACACACCCATGACTAATTCACAGACTGAGTACAACCCTTTGAACCACCTGGAACACTCACCATGTTTTTCACCTTTAAAATAGTGCGCTCCACGCCGTGCGCTCCACGCCGTGCGCTCCACGCCGTGCGCTTAGGTTATTAAAATAGGGCCCATTGACTCTGTCTGAGGGTTTAGACTCGGGCTGACGGAGCGGGTTGAGTACGGTGTTGGCCTGTCGTACAGGTTATTCATTTTACACACAGCGCTGTGGGTAACTATAGGCCGAGCACTCGATGGGGAGCCGGCAGCAGAGGGACCAGGATTTCATGTTCCAGCAGAGGACCAGTCTGTCCTCATTATCAGGGTGCTCCTCTATTCAGACCAGTACGGTAGATCAGATCAGGACTACAGTGCTCCTCTGTACAGAAAACAAAGACCTCCTTACACTCCTCCTCCTCCTCCTCCTCCTCCTCCTCCTCCTGCTGCCCCCCCCCCCGTCTGCAGGGATCACTTCTGTTGTTTCTAATGAGACCTCAGGAGGGTCGATGTGGTGACATCACTGTGTTACTGTTTTTAACCACGATCCTGACGTCAGTGACCGTCAGTGACGCATCATCGTCCTCCATGTTTGTTTTCCTCTCTGTGGTCACGGCTGGTCACGTGAGGGTTGAAATACTTTAATTAGACTGAACCGCAGAGCTTAGCTGATGAGGTGAGGCGTTTTATTACAACAGCTCTGATGTGACCTGAACGCAGCATCGTTTCACTGTAAACATACATTTATAGAGTTTATGGTGACGCGAGCTGAGAAACGGCTGTTTCAGATGATGTCAGCATGTCCCGGGACAGGAAGTGAATGAAGAAGTATTCACAGAGCTGTGATTAATGACTAGGCGTTTCTGTCATCAGCTGTTCTGCAGGTTCTTTTCTCAGTGAATCGAGTCTTTGGTTCTGATCCAGATGACCTCTGCAGAGTTCAGATGAATCAGATCCATCGTCATCACGCTGCTCTTCATCACAATAATTAAAAATCATCTTGTTTGATTGTTCTGGTTCTGACGCTCGGACAGCTGATCAGAGCCGATTGTCTGAGCTGTGTTCTGACCCGTCCTCCCTCTGTGTCTCTGTCCCAGCCATGTCTCCGGTCCTGGCAGGCTTCCTGGGAGCTGGCGTCCTGGTTTTGGTCGTAGTGGTTCTGGTTCTGCTCTGGTCTTTCTGTCAGCGCCGTTACCTGCGCATCTCTGGACGCTACAAGCTGCACGGCGACCGTTACTGCGACGCCGAGGACCCCCCCTACAAGTTCATCCACATGTTGAAGGGCATCAGCATTTACCCAGAATCCCTCAGCAGCAGCAAGAGGATCGTACGCAGCATGCGCCGCGTGGAGCGCTCCGACCGCGAGGGAGAGCGAGGCTGCCCCGCCGCCACGGGGAGGGGCATGGTGCTGGTGGACGCTGAGAACAACATCCTGGACGTCCCGGGGCAGCTGCAGATGAGTCACCTGGTCCCCCCCGCCGGGGCGGGCCCCGCCCTCAACCAGGCCCGGCTGGAGCGGGCTCTGCCGGTCCGCGCCGACTACTGCTGCCTGGACAGCTCAGCCAGCAGCAGCCAGACCAGCAGCAAGACCGCGTCCCCCTTCACCCCTGCGTCCTCGGAGCCCGAACCGGAGCCCAGCCTGGGGGCCATCAGCCTCACCGTCGACTACAACTTCCCCAAGAAGGCCCTGGTGGTGACCATCGTCGGGGCCCGGGGCCTCCCCGCCATAGACGAGCAGGCGGGCAGCTCGGACCCGTACGTGAAGATGACCATCCTGCCGGAGAAGAAGCACCGTGTCAAGACCCGCGTGCTGAGGAAGACCCTGGACCCGCTGTTCGACGAGACCTTCACCTTCTACGGCGTGGCCTACAGCTCGCTGCCCGAGCTCACCCTGCACTTCCTGGTCCTCAGCTTCGACCGCTTCGCCCGAGACGACGTCATCGGCGAGGCCGTGGTGCCGCTGAAGGGCGTGGACCCGAGCACGGGCCGAGTCCACCTGAGCCAGCAGATCACCAAGAGGAACATGCAGGTGAGTGACAGCTGCGGCGAGACGTGGTCGCAGACTATTAATGAATCATTTGCTCGTTTGTACGTTGAACATGAGAGGAGGAAGCGGTCTGGAGGTCTGACCTCACCGCTGCGTCTTTATCGGGTTAGAGCTGGACGTTGGTGAATAAGCTGTTGTCCTGCTGAGCCGTCACTCTAAACGGCGTCAGCGACGTCATCTGTGTGACGTCAGGCGCTTTAACATGTTGTCTTTAACCTTTATTTATCCAGGGGAGAAAATCAAGACACTCAGACTCCGTCGTGCAGATAAAATACACTGATGGAATATCTGCTCATTTAAAACATTTCCATCCGTCTTTAAAATCAAGATTTAAACTTTAAAAAGGAGCCAGCACCTCCAACCGGATCAGGTCTTTAGCAAGGAGGTCCAGGTAGATGTTGCACAGCATGAGAGGTCCGCCTGCTGGACCCATGACTACTGACTGCAGAGCTAAGGTGCACCTGGACTGTCCAACGCCTGTTCTTTATTCCTGAGCTCAGAGGATCACAGAGGATCAGTAAATGAAATGAGTCACGTTATTCTACACAAAAACTACAGTGTCACAAATAAACTAAAGAAAATACAAAGACTCTCAGAGGAACCTGAGAAAGGGCCCACTGATGTTACGATACATCTTATCTTATAGACCATGATGCATTGCTGCAGATTAATTAATGGATATTAATCCACAAACATCAGATCTAAGAGAGAAGTTTCCTGCAGTACTGTAAGTACACGCTGCTCATAATACTTAGATAATCTTACTGAAGGACGTTTTAGATGCAGTGGAGTATTTGCACAGTGTGGTATTAGTACTTCTACCGCAGTAAAATGATCTGAGTGCTGTTTAGTGTCTGTTCAGAGACGTCATCGCAGCATCTGATTGTCTCTGTGTCTTTTTCAGTGTGAGAGTCGTGGCGAGCTGCTGGCGTCTTTGTCCTACCAGCCGGTGTCTCACCGCCTCAGCGTGGTCGTCCTGAAAGCTCGACACCTCCCCAAGATGGACATCACCGGCCTGTCAGCCAGTGAGTGTTTGTGTGCTGTGTGTTCTCCACCTTTAACATTTCATCTCACGGCCGACTTAAACATCTCAAACGTTTCTGTCCAAACGGGAATTTCCAAAATGTGTTTGAAGTACCGCAGAGAGACTATTCTCTGAGCCTCGCTGTGTTCATGTGTGATGTTCAGCTACAGAACAGACTTCTCACCTGTAGTTTGTCCTGAGGGGGGCGCTAGAGGAGAGCTCTTAGAGCAGGACGGGAACTGAACGTCACATGGTCATTAAATGAAGAACAACAGTAAAAAGCAGCAACAACTTACTTCACAATGACTGACAGCTACAATTACAATAAGTAGAATCAGCCTCAAAGTCCTGTGTGAGTGATTAACCCCCCCCCCCCCCCCATGTTTAATTATGAAACAGCACAAGTAAACCAGTGACTGAGTCTGCCAGTGATAATTGACTTAACTGTTCTTCTTTTCAGACATTTTAACCCGGTGTTCGCTGCTCAGTTATGAGGATTTGATGCTTTTCTTAGTCAGACACGACAGTAAACTGAATATTTGATCGGACAAAACAATAAACTGAGAAAAGGTTTGCTGCAGTTTATTCAGTGTTTTTCAGATGCACGCATATTTCTATTTAACCAGGAAGTCCCTCGTGATTAAAATCTGTTGACCGACAGAGACCAGGTCGAGAGGTCCCACCAGTTCCAACTTACAGAGAAATAAAAACCAACATCACAAACAAAGAAGGGGGCTGGATCCAGCTCACATGAGGCCAGTTAGAGTTTTAACATGACTTCAGATTCATTTAATGGGCCTAGGTCATCTAATAAATGTGGGTTGAAATGAATAAAACGTGTTTTCTAATAAACTATAAAAAAATTGTAATCAAAAAACATTACTCTAAAGTTCTTAATTCTTAGGACGTTCTGTAAATAGTTTTCTAGTAAATATAGCAACTTCTGATCAACTTGTAACGACGTTCAGGCTTAAAGAATAACTTTTATCTTTATAAAGGATTTTCTTTCTGCAGGTCTGACGGCTCTGAGGGGGATTGGCTTAGTTTAGAGAATTATAAATGTCTGCTGGGCGGACAACAGTTTACTGGGTCGTCCTGTTTAATACTTCACTGGTGTTGAAAGGGGAGGCGTCTCCAACCTCTCAGGGTTCTTTATAGAGGTCGGAGCGTCGGTGCTTTGCACAGTTGGTTTTGTTAATTCTGCAGAAAATGAGTATTTAAAACCGTTTAAAGTATTCAGGATCTATATGAATTGAAAAGTTTATATTTTTGACTACACTGTGGCCTTGGACACTAAAATATACAAATGAAACAGTCTGCGTAGACTTAGTGACGGCCGGTCGGGAACCAGAGTTAGTTATAAAATGTAGTTTTCTACACAGAATCTAAAGGTGGAGAATACGAAGGGCAGAATGCATGTACACCACATCACCATAGTCCAAAAGACTTAGATCTGAAGCCTGACCAAGTTTCTTTCCTGCCAACATGTTAAAACAAGCTTTATTTCCAAAAGGAAGAACCCAGCGGTACCTTAAAGGGTTTGCGATTCTTATCCAAGACACTTTTTGTTAAATTAAGCGAATATTTCCTCGTGGGTCGCCAGCTCTGGGTCTGTACATTGAGCACCAACCAGCTGCTGGGAGCGAGCGGCAGGTGGAATCGCTGTGATTTGTTGATAAACAAACTCATGAACGCACATTGCCATGGTAACCAGTCCTACTCTGCTTCAACAGTTACAATTAGTGAACAAACATCATCAAACGAACGACATGTGTAAGGTCACAAACGCAGCGTCCAAACACAACAGAGTAAAACTAGAGAGTTATTATTAGTTTGTACAAAAATACTTTGGCTGAAAAGAGCCGGGAAGCACAGGAGCGACTGTTTATCTCCAGGGCCGAAGTCAGCGCTGACTTTGGGTCAACCTCCTTCACTTTATTCAACAGTTGGCAGCAGCACACAGGAGCTCCTCTTCATCCTGAGAAGCTGCCTCTGTAACTTCTACTGTACATTTACTGCTGAACGAGGAGCCGACCCGCTTCTCTCTGTTCACCCGTTCACCCTGTCCGGCAGAAACAGAGCGCCCTCAGCATCGGTTTTCATTCCTCTCTAATCTCCTAGATTTATCCAGCACTGAAGCCGCTCACAGATGTTCACACAGGTCTTCCCCTCACCTGCTCTTAGAACGTCTTTCCCTCTGTGGCTGGAGTCCAGCGTGTTCGAACGTACCGCTGTTTGGAGCGCGCCCAGCCACCTGCCGCTCGCTCCCAGCAGCTTCGTTTGTGCTCAATGTACAGACCCAGAGCTGTGGAGGAAGCGCACCAAAACCACAGAGCTGGCGACCCACGAGGAAATATTTGCTTAATTTAACAAAAAGTGTCTTGGATAAGAATCGCAAAGTACCCCTTTAACTTGTTTCCAGCTCTACATTGTGGTTTTTCTTGTTTGCTCCTCAGACCCCTACGTGAAGGTGAACGTCTTCTACGGCCGGAAGCGCATCGCCAAGAAGAAGACCCACGTGAAGAAGTGCACGCTGAACCCGGTCTTCAACGAGTCCTTCATCTACGACATCCCGCCCGAGCTGCTGCCCGAGATCTCCGTGGAGTTCCTGGTGGTCGACTTCGACCGGACCACCAAGAACGAGGTTCTGGGCCGCCTGTTGCTCGGGCTCCACAGCCCGCCCCCTCCGGAGCCTCCCACTGGAGGGAGGTCTGCGAAAACCCCCGCCGGCAGATCTCCAAATGGCACAACCTGAGCGAGTACTGAGGCTGGGGGGGGGACCAGCAGAAACCAGCCCACACCACCTTCCTGGCTGGGACTCCACCAGTGAAACCACTGGGAAATACAGACTCAGTGTACAGCACACACCACACACACACACACACACACACACACACACACACAGTTGTGATCATAGTGAAACTCTCTCTCTCTCTCTTCTATCTCTCTCTTCCACCACTACATTCGTCCTGTTCATGACAGCGAAGAAGCAAAAAGAAAACGAGCTGTTTCTAAAAGAGAACCCATGAAACCATCCTCGGCCCGTTCATGTCTCCTCTGGCTGTGTGTGTCCGCGGGGAAGGAATGCTCCGATTTAAAAAAGATTACTAAAGATTCCCCTTCTTGCTGTTGTCGTCACGCAGCTCATCGCATGTCTGTCCCAAGAGAAAAGAAAAACAAGCCCTCCAGATGAGGAGCTGAGAGCTGAGCGGCGGCAGGAGGACGCTTCAGCTCCGGTAGAAGAAATACTCACTAACACTGCGTAGGACTAATCGCTGCATATATCCAAGTATAATTACTCCTCAGTAGGACCCGGTAAGAGCGCCACAGAGCTCCCATGTCTCGCAGCGGCCATGTTTTTAGGGGGTGGGGTTGTTGTAGTCCACAGCATGCTCCCTGCCTCCTCCTGAAGAAGATCAAACATCGTGTTCACTCGTGGCTCCTGGAGGAGGTGCCCTCCCATCTGACTGTGAACTGTTTCAATGTGGATTTACAAACTGTGGCTGAAGACGAGTGGAGACGCTAACCAATCAGCTTTCTGCTCAGCAACACTAGAGCAGACTGAGAGACCGTGTAAAATACTTGTTTGTGACATGAATGGTATTTAATAGACTCTCTGAAGGAAGCAGGAAGCAGCTGGTGGACTGATTCATCCCGACGCCGTTGTCTCATTACCAGGAGTCACGGAAAGACCTGCCGAGACCAGGATTCACTCAATCAGGTCGCACCGTTAAAGCTTGAGAAACGAGTACAGGCAGCAGAACGGGCGTGTTATTAACGTGGTTTAGCGTCTTCTGACTGACGTAAAATTAAATTAAAATTAAAATTACAATCTCTCAGGTGTGAAATGTTTCAGGTTGGTCTCTGGCTGTACTGGCTGTGGTTTGAGATTTCTCTGTTGGAAAACTCGAGGCTTTGACACAGAGCTGTCAAAATGAAAACAGACAGATGCTAAATATTAAACTAACATCTTCCACGTGTCGGATCTCCGGTCCTGCAGAAAACGAGTACTGTGGTGTTTCCAGAATTTTGGCACCGAAGTACCAGTTCTCGTGACATCCCCACACTGAAGTCACTGTTAAACAGCATTCATCATTTAGCCGACGCTTTTATCCAAAGCCACTAATAGTTGGTGTATCGGTCCGAGGTCGCACGCCACTGGAGCAACAAGGGGTTAAGTGTCTTGCTCAGGGACACGTTGGTGTCTCACAGTGGATTCAAACCCAGGTCTCTTACACCAAGGCATGTGTCTAATCCACTGCTCCATCTCCACCCCAAAATATTTCTTCAGTTCAGTAGTGGTATGCTGAGACCGGGATTCGAACCATTAGTCTTTGGATCTGCAGGACAAGGCCGTAACCTCTGGACTATTAAGGCCTAAAGTTTCAGGTCAGGTCGCCCGCGCTCCATGTGACCTCCGTGACTCTTCAGATATTAGCATGCTAACGTTAGCTTTGTCAGGTAGTGGCCGTAAATATTTAAAACGAGTCTGTGAGCTGCAGCCTGTTTCACTGTAGTGATGGTGAAACTGCACAGCGTCACGCCAGAGACGTTTTAAGAGGAGACCCGTACAATCCTCAGTACAACTCTAGGCAAACCCCGTAACGCCAAAGAGGGCGGCTGTCCCGCCCCTCCTACTAGAAAGCCAATCAAGCCAATCGTGTGGTTCCACTGCTGCTGACGGCGTCATGAAGGAAACGTCCTCTGCATTTCTGTAAAGGTTCAGTGTGAAGTTTTAGTGGCATCTAGTGGTGAGAGTGGGAACTGCAACCAACCACCTCCTCCCTTGCAAGTGCGCAGGAGAAGCTACGGTGGCTCATCCTAAGGTAATAAAAACATAACGGTTCATTATGTAAAGTCTTTACACACCACTGAAAAGAGAGTTATGGATATTATCAGCCAGTAGGTCCTCCTGAATGTCACACACTGGACCTTTAACCTGAAACAGCGTCCACATTTACAGACGTTTTAAACTGACTGCAGCTCAGCCGTCACAGAGGCGTTACTGCAGAGTCTCAGTTCGTACCTGTTTAGGGCTGCAGCTAATGATCATTTTCACCATTAATGTTTTAGCCTAAAAAAAGTGGTAAAAAATGTTTATCTAAGTTTCCCAAAGTTCGACATGACGTCCACAACCCAAAGACATTCAGTTTACTGTCACAGAGGAGCAAAGAAACTAGGAAAATTCACACATGAGAAGCTGCAATCAGAGAATTTGAACATTTGTTTATTCATACAGTTTAAAGTTAGAGGCATAGTGCGCATTAACAAACATTTCTGTAACTGTGCCAGTTTAGCTATCGTCCCCGGGCAGGTGTAATCATAGCTGCGTAAAATACGGATTTTAATCAACTAAATGAAACTACCGTAAAACCTGGTTGCCTGTGCTTTTATTTGTTAAAATCACCAAGCCTTCTGCGACCTTGTTCCTTTACCGTGTAAGTAAATGTGAAGGAAAACCACTTTAGTGCTCATTGTTTACATTATAAATACTTTAAAGATTTACCTTGGTGTGCACTAAGCAGCTTGAAGAGGTTTCATACATCCAAACAGCTTCTAACTGAGACCAGAACATGCAGCCACACCAGGCCAGTAAATGGGAGCGGCGTCTAACTAGGACGCTTTAACTGAAGTTTTACGGTAATCTGCGAACGCCTCGAGCATCTTTAGACCGCCGACCAACAAAGCAGCCGGCGCGAGCTCCCTGCAGGCGGCTTAACAAGAGAAACTAAAAGCCGATCAACGCGTCCTGATCCCAGGCTTCAGGGAGACGAGACGACCGTTTGTCGAGGTCAGATGCGTCCTGATGAACCCGGAGGTAATGAGACGACGGCGCCGGGCGGAGACCATCAGCAACCGCAGCTTCTCTTCGCTTCCTGTGCCCCTGTGTCACGTTCCTTCTCTTCCTCCGACCTGCACTGGCGTGTGAAGCGTTTCCCTGCAGGAGTGCCTGAAGCCGTTTGTTTTCTGAAGCCCAGTGGATGTTTGAATATTTCCTTTGAGTGGTGTAGTCTAACGAGCACACGTTAGTCCCAGTTTAGAGTTAACCCACGTTAACCCCGCTCGCGCCGAGCCTGCAGCTCGCCGACGTGGCGAAGAAGAATAACCTGTGTGAAACTAACTTTGAGTCAGAGACGTGCCGAGGACGCCGCGGACGGCTCGGACTGTAGATTTGTACAGATGTGAACATGTTTGCCGGTTTCCTTCCTGTCTGATGTCCTCGGAGCTTCAGTGTGTTTGAGCGCCCCCTGCTGTAGACCTGGACGCTAACCTCGTGTTAGCTCTGTCACACTAATCAGACGTGCAAATAAAAACAAGTTAGCCATGGACGCCGCGTGTCACGCCTCCTTTCTTATTCATCATGACGTCTGGTGTGTCTCCTCCTCTGTCTCCTTCTCCTCTGTCCCCTCCTCTGTTCCCTCCTCTGTCCCCTCCTCTGTTCCTCCTCTGTCCCCTCCTCTGTCCCCTCTCTCCTCCTCTCCTCTGTCCCCTCCTCTGTTCCCTCCTCTGTCCCTCCTCTGCCCTCCTGTGTCTCCTTCTCCTCTCTCCTCTGTCTCCTCCTCTGCCTCCTCCTCCTCTGTCCCCTCCTGTGTCCTTCTCCTCTGCTCCTCTGTCCTCCTCATCTGTTCCCTCCTCTGTTCCCTCCTCTGTCCCCTCCTCTGTTCCCTCCTCTGTCCCCTCCTCTGTTCCTCCTCTGTTCCCTCCTGTGTCTCCTCCTCATCTGTCCCCTCCCTCTCCTCCTCTGTCCCTCCTCATCTGTTCCTCCTCTGTCTCCTCCTCTGTCCCTCCTCTGTCCCCTCCTGTGTCTCCTTCTCTGTCTCCTCATCATCTGCCCTCCTCTGTCTCCTCTGTCCCTCCTCATCTGTTCCCTCCTCTGTCTCCTCCTCTGTCCCCTCCTCTGTCCCCTCCTGTGTCTCCTTCTCCTCTGTCTCCTCCTCATCTGTTCCCTCCTCTGTCTCCTCCTCTGTCCCCTCCTCTGTCTCCTCCTCTGTCACATTTGTTAGGTTGCACTCTGGAGCTCTGTGGCGATGCTACAGAGACACCTCGACCTACAGAGCAGACGTGAGGGAACAAATACATCAGAACGGTTTATCTTACTTATAATAGAGTTCTACTTTCACATACTTGCTTCTATTTTAGTGCTGTAATCTGTTGTAAGCGTTTCGATGTGTTTATTAGTGTGTCTGCGGAGTTTCCTGTGTTCTATAATGTGTTAAGTTCAACTAGAGAGCAGTTGCAGAAAAGCGACATATAACTGAGGTGAAGCTGACAGAAAACACAGTATCAACAACTGAGCGTAGTCCATAAACCCAAACATTAAGTCCAGCGACCAGAAACACGAGACGTGAAACACAGGTAGGTAACCGCCCACCAAGTAGGACAACGAGCAAGCACCGAACAACAGGAAGACAACCGCTGTATCTGCACAGGAGGGGCGAGGACACAAGACACAGGTGAGGACAATCAGGGTAATGAGACAGGGACACGGAAGTAAAACACTTGAGGCAGAGTACTACAAAATAAAACCGGATGTACAGCTTACATGAACACACAAGGATTAATATCACAGAATAAAACAACACATGGCAGGAGTGTCCAACTGACACACAGACAGTAAGTCAGGTGTACCTGAATAACCCCGAGGTCTGCTGTCATGGTGATTTACGCCACATCTCTAAACTGCTCCGAGCAGGTGATCTTCTTGATTAACTTGAATCCATATGGAATTCTGAATCTGTATAACTGAATGATCCTAAATGTTTTCACATATTTATCTTGACTGTTTTACGCAGTAAAAACACAGAGCCGAAATGAATTTACAGGAACAAAACTTCCCTGAAATTAAAGTCAAAAAATCCTATTTCTTCTGAATACGCCCAGTTCAAGGATGCATTTGATAATACGGTGATGTGGGCTGAAATCACGAGTGTTTCCTCACTGCTAAATCTGTTTGAGAAGTATAATATAATTTTCCACTGCATGCATAATGAATGGATGTTGCAGCAAAGGGTAGTGATGTGGTTCGTGTTTCTCTCATAAATGTCTGACAGTGTGTCGGAGAATATTCAAATTTTTTAATTGTAGATTTGTGATTACTTTTTCCTGTTATTTACAACTTTAATCTTTTTCCCCAAACTCTAACCCTGACATTATCATCGGGCATTCATCTGGGGAAAAAACTCACCAACTTCAGTTCAGTGAACACACTGACCAACATCTTATTCAGCGTCGGGTCGTAGTGCAGACCTCAGAACACTTTGCAGACCAATAAATAAATATTATAATGACGGTAAAGCTGAACCTTGAAAGACTGAATCATGTTTATACTCCAACGGTTGCTTTCATCATCGAATAATCTGCCTATTATTTTATCAGTTAATCTTTTGATCATTTTATCTATAAGTGAATTTGAGGCGATGCCTTCAAATTTCATGTTCAGTTACATCATGTTCAACAATTTCCTCTCGTGGGATCAATAAAGTATTTCTGAAAGTTTCCCTGAAGTATGACTTAGAAAAACATCAAACTGTCACATTTAAGAAGCCAGAAACCGGCGGGTGTTTGGCTTTGTTGCTTAAAAATGACTAAAACCATTATTCAGTTATCAAAATAGTTCAATGAATTGACCAATCGTTACAGGTCTAGCATTGATCAATCTACGGATCATGTTTTGATTGTTTGCTCTTTAAGTATCAGCAAAGTGTGACGTCTTTAAACATGTCTGGACAAATCACAAACAATGTGTTGATTATCAATAATGGCTTCATTTCCCGCTAATCAATCGGTCTCAGTGACTCGAGCTGAGTCTGAACGCTGATTTATCTGTAGATGATCTCGCTCCAGTATCGTTCCAATCAAATCCATGACTGGATTAAAGAAGAGCATCACATGAGAGCTGACTGTGGGAAGGACTGTTCCTCCTCAGACACTGAGGGGTTTGTGTTAAATCGTAAATGGATTACAGAAGAAGCAGTTCACTTTTAATCTACAGGAAGTCATCAACATCAGATGTCAATGAGAAACACCAGACAGTCATCCAGAGA